ACGTGCTCTCATTGGCTTGGTTCATTTTTTCACTTATCTTTGAATGGTATCACCAAAGCCGAATGTATTACAAATTACGTTCCAAGATTTTTATTTCATAGAAGTTACCGACTTTGAAAAGTTGTGCATACAAGTAATAGTATGAATAGATTATTGAAAAAATGAAAGGTATAAAATTTTATGTAACCGATTAAATTTTCTCTACCAAAACGGTCTCAACTTTTTGTCCGGAAACGTAAATATTTTCAAAAAATTCGGTTCTCAGTTTATAAATAGTGATACATTCCATAATAATGAATTTTTTCATGGAAAATTAAACAAAAAAAAATTACGCTTGATAAAGCTATTGTATAGCGAAACACATGTCACGGTTTTTGTAAAACCCTTTATAGCAAAAATCATTTAGTAAAGTGTATTAATTAGTTTTAATATGGATTTTCATCAAGTATCGGCCAGTTGTATTCAATTTTTCAACCACAAAGGTGAAGGGTGCAGATTCCTTTTTTCACATGGTTTCTCTGACAAGCCTATAATCTATAATATTAATCTGAAAAAATTTCATTTTGAAATATTCTCAAGATACAAGCAGACAGATCTATTCAAAATACATGGGTGGGGGCATAGAGAAGCAAAAAAAATTAATTTTCCCACAGAAGTCCAAATATTGTGAGCAGTGAATATTATGGTTAATCTATTCGATGTTGGAAATATGAAAACTACAGTATCAATAATAATAACCCTAATTTTCCAAGTTAATGAAGCTTTCCTTATTGACCATTTCATATTGTTTCATTGGCTACTCTGACTGTCAAATGTTACTAAATGGGCGATAAATATAAATTTTAAAAACCATCTAATTTTTTTGGGATTATGTCTGCCATTTTGCTTCCATTGCTGCCATTTGTATGTTTGCAAAACAGCTGTAACCTATAATTATAATACTAACTGCGAGGCAACTAGTCCAGTTTAACAGACTTAAAGCTACTAAAAATATGAGCGACAGATCATTGGGTTCAGAATGAAGTGTAGAAAAATAAACTTTGCTGATTTTACGGCTCTCAAAAAATTGCAATTGCCACTGAAAAATGGAAATGAAAAAAAGGACATTTACTATTTCGTTTAAAACTAAAACTATCAATATATATATGATTAATATTCCGGAGAGGTGCATTGTAACATGCTCAGGGTTGCCCCTTTCAGGGCAGATACGGAAAAACAACAACCCACCCAGCTAATGCCGCGCAGAGAGTTGAAGTAAAACCATCAGGTACTTGTACAACGTCTTCAACTGCAGAGAGATTCTATGACTAGCTGGAATTATTTTCATTTGGTCGTGATACTCACGGTTCACACCGTTCTGAAGAGACCATGCCCGGTACTGATGATGGGTCAATCACCCCGAAACCAGTCTATCGGTTGGTCGGATCGACCAAACGAATACTCCATATTTCGTGAATCATTCGTGAATCGATATCTCTAACACTTCAATTGAAGGTTGAACAATTTGTATTGTCACTGTGACTTGAACATATTGATAAAATGATAGGATATATTTTTTTCATTAGATACTTCATTGTAATTATATGTCCCCCTTGAGATAAAGTTATCTGATTATTTCATTACTTCAAGGTAAAATTCATTTCATAAAACCTTCCCAGAAAAATGTTTCAACTCTCAAGTGTGAATAGTGTGTGAATAGGTGTGATCCACAATAAACCCTTGCGGGTTGCGGTGGAGGGTCGAATAGATCCACTCACTTTGGACCTAACCTAATCTATACAAATTGAAAGAACAATATAACATTTTTTCTCCAATGGAATCTCATTCCTTGAAGTATTCAGATTACACTGTATTTTTTTCAGCGACTGGTGCGCAAATAATGAATGGACTGATCCGTTGCTTTAAAATTAATAACTCCATTATTATTATTATCACGGATACTTGTGATCGAGTCTTGAGTATCTAGATTGAATAAATGGTGATATCTCTAACACTTCAATTGAAGGTTGAACAATTTGTATTGTCACTGTGACTTGAACATATTGATAAAATGATAAGATATAATATTTTTTTCATTAGAGACTTCACTGTAATTATATATCCCCCTTGAAATAAGGTTAACTGATTATTTCATTACTTCAAGGTAAAATTCATTTCATAAAACCTTCCTAGAAAAATGTTTCAACTCTCAAATTCTTTACTAACTTGTGCATTCAATATAGGTTCAAAGTAATCGAAATGTTCATACAGTTAGTTAATGTTCAGATAAATCAAAATTTTACGAGCTAAACATTATTGTTTTGCCAGGATGTTTGAAAGTTTCAGTGTTTACCCAAAATTATTCCTTTTTTTATGAATTGATATGATCTGATGGAATTGATGGAATGTCATCAGTGACACTAAATGAAGAAAGATAGTAACAACCTAATTTCATAAAACGGTATTATGAAAAATGCCAAACGAGTATAAGGTAGATAATATAATTTTGCACATATTTGTTTATAAATACAACTGAAAAATAATTAGAAGACACTGATATACAATATTATAAAATTTGCTCTAGATAACACCTTAAGAGTTTTATAACCTCATGAATACCAAGCTGTTTCTTCAAGATAGTGGAAATTTAGACCAAGATTTGAAAAATATTGATTTCTTTGCAAATTTTACTTGCCATATATCCCTATAGTATTTTCAAGAAAAGTTTGCACTGACGTCATATGTAATGATAAAATATGCCAAATTCAGAAAACAAGTTTTCAAAGACATTAATGATTGGGCTACCAATTCTGGTCGGTGTTGTCATGCGCAAATTCAGTATAGAAGTGTCTTACTTAACTTGCTCGAAATGTGGAATGTAAGTGAAATCATTGCATTTCTCAAAATGCACACATCTCTTAAAAGTGCAACTTTTTACACGTTTTGTTACACTTCAGATACAACTAGTCATATTTCCAAAAGTTGGGCGGAGGTACAAGTTTTGACTTCTAATTTGTGATAAACAGATAAACAAAACTAGGTTCAACTAAAAAAAAAATAAAATAGCTCGAGCTGATAGAATAAATAGTTAGTGTGTTGCATATGAACCTATTGAAGTGCATTTTATCGAATTTTGGTGATGGCGTTGCCAAGTCTTATGGACATTTCTGAATATTTATCAAGCACTTTGTCAATTTATACTGGATAATCGTTGATGGTTTTTTTAGTGGAAAGTTTAAATAACATATAGAACCTATTTTCATCTTGAAATGAATTTGGAGTGCCGTCGGCAAAAATAGCTTTTTCGCCACACTTTTACAAAAACTCATATATCTCTGTTAACACTATGATTGTTAATGAATTTTTCACCAAAATATTAAAAATAACCAATAGAAAACAAAGATTAACTCACTGATGATTGAACGAGTTAAATTTTCAGAAGTATTCATCAATTGAAGTGCTTGAGATATGGATGTTTGATTATGGCATGTTGTAGGAATTTCAAGTTCGTACTGCAAGGTTTTGGCATATAAATTAGGTGGTATTACATGCCTTCTAATTGCTCCGGGCGTCTTCCATCTGTGAGTAGCTCTATTCACAAATTTCCAAATGACAAATCTTGTCAAATGGCTTATCAGCATGAAACATTTCACTCCAATTGATTACCAGTTGGCAATGAAATTTATCTGAGAAGAAAATAATTTTAATGAAAAGATCTAAAAAAAAAGGAAACTACAAATCAACAATGAGTGTGGAGACGGATTTGTGATCAAACACAGCGCTGTTTCGACCCACCAGGTCTCATCAGTGGTGCTCGGTTGAACTGTCGAAAAAAGAACAAGCCTAAGAGTAAAGGTGATGGCATCTCCCCATACGAAGACGCCATCTATGGGATCGACAGTAGACTGTAACAAGGAGGCTCCCCAAGGTGATTCGTTGCAAAGTCAAAGCTTTGACATCGACCACCGAACGAGATTCGTCCAGTCTTTCACCGACAAATACTCGTCAAAATTGAACTCATTCAATCAACATTGAGATATTTGTTTTCTCTTGGTTATTTTTGATATTTCAGTAAAAAATGTATCAACTTTCATACAGTGTTAACCAAGATATGCGTTTTTGTTAATGCGTGGCGAGAAAGTGCTTTTTCTCGACGTGCTTTTTCTTGATTTGAAGAAGGAAATAGGTTCTATATTGAATTTGAAACATTTCATTGAAAAACCACCAACAAAGTGTCAAAAATTCCATTTTTTTTTCAACTTTCCTTAGGGTACTCCAAATACATCACTGATTATACAATATGAACCGAGATAAAGGATTTTGTAAAAGCGTGTCAAAAATGTTTTTCCCCGACGGCACCACAAATTGATTTGAAGATGAAAATAGTTTTATATGTAATTTGAAACTTCTCACTGAAAAAAAACCATTAAGCATCATAAGGATCATCCAGTATATAAGTAGAAAATTCTTGATGAATTTTCAGCAACTGTTCAGAAGATTTGGCAATATCGCCCGAAAATCCTACCGTATTCCAACTTTCTTGATGAAACCATAGCGAGAGAACCAGGGATAACTTCACTCTAAAAAGTAAACTTTACTTATACATTCAATACAAATGAATACCCTTCACTTGTGGATCAGGCTTGATTAGTTGTTATTCACTTCCTGTTCATTACCATTACCTATTTATTATTGGTCTCCAAAAGTTGTAACATAGGTAGGCACTCAACGTCATTTCATTGTTTCAATACAAAATCATTACCCTGGTTCAGGAATTATTTGATGTAATTAACTTCTGAAAAGTTGATTTTATAAAGAACTGGCCTAATTCGCATTATCAAAAATAAGAGAAAAATTGGAACAGTTTCCTGTATTAGACTAGGACTAAAACATATATAATCATTCTCACAAATTGCTAATCAAGGCTTGGTAACCAATATCAAGTGTAGGTTAATACGTTTATCGAGAAATCGAGATAATACCTTTAGTACACGTTTCGGGAACTACTTTTAAAAACTTACCTCGTTCAAAAACGTAGTTAAATCATATACTTTGTTATGTATCACAACCCAGGTACTTTTATTATCATTGTGTTCTTCGATTTCTTTAGTAGAAAATTGTTTAAGAGACATTTTGTCGTTTCTTCGATTTAACTATACCGACGAAAGCAGAGATATTACGCGTGAGCACAAAAGTTTTATTTTCTAATTGATATTCGAGATTATCCTTGATCTTTGAACGAAATCTACTTCGTGATAAGGAATAATGACAATCCACAAACAAAAAGCCTTATATGGTGAGAAGTGTCGCCTTGTTGCCATATCATCGAACTTATCGGTGGTTTGCAATAATGATTATACAAGTCGCAAGGCTAGCCAAATTCTCTTCACATGATCAGATTATGCAGTTAAAAAACGCACGTGGATGCGAACGAATATTAACTATTATGTTGACGTGTATTTTCATAAAGTTTTAATCAAGAATTCCTTTGTGCCCGATCCAAGTTCAGGTTAATGAAGACTAAAAAAATAAAGTCATTTCATTGTTTCAATATAAAATCATTACCCTAGCTTAGGAATCATTCGATGTAACTAACTACTGAAAAGTTGATTTTATGAAAAATTCTCCTCAATAGCTTCCTCAAGCATGAGGAAGCTATTGTATAGCAAAACAAGTGCCGCGGTTTTTGTAAAACCCTCTATAAATTGTATTAATTAGTTTTTATTTTAACAGGTTGGAGCCTAGCTCCGTTACTGTTACGACGTGTGTTCATCAGGAGGACGAACGAGATGGTATGAAGGTCCAGAGACATCCATACCGCCCTTCCTAAATGGAGAGACTCGTCGGAGCCACTTGACCCCAAACGCCTCAAGAGTAGATGATGACAGACTTGAACATCGTGTTATAGAGTACAGACTTTCAATCCGTCCCTCGATCTTTGCCTTCACATTTTCGAAGTGCGGTGTCCAGGTGAGCCTACGGTCTATTAGAAGACCGAGGTACTTTAACCGCGCTTGCAGGCTATTTCCCTTCCGGAGACTTTCACTTCCATGGCCGGAGCAAATGTCGTTCTTCCCGAGTCTTGTGTAAAGATACCTTCACACGCTCAGACCTCGAAAGGTCGCTGGTATATAAGGAGTAGAGCGTAGAGGAGAGCACGTCACGCACTCCAGCGATGATCTCTCTGTTGTCAGACAGGGAGCCCTCTATTCTGACCTGAAAGGTCCTGCTCTTTAGAAAGGATATAATCCACCGGTCAAGCCGCGAGTCATGTCTTCGTGTCATACACGATCGAATTAACTTTTTTGTTGGAGTTCAGCTCCTTGATGGTATTTTCGACCAGTTTCAGAGCCTGTAACTCAGTGAAGTGTTCCATCCGGTAACCGAATTAATCGTCAGTCATAACATTTCAGTCCTTGACTTCTTCTTCGAGCCTTTGCAGAACGACTCTTTCACCCAGCTTAGTCATCGAGGAGAGAAGACTGATAGGACGTATATTGGGAGTCTTTTTGACAAAAAGGGGTCCAAATCATCACACCAGGAACATTTCATGCATCTTGATTCACCAAACAGAAAAACTATATTTCACAAGAAGGAAGTATTTCCTATGATCATTAAGTATTCCCTATGACCATTGTTTTCGATTTAAGAAAAATATCTGAAGCTTTTGAGGTTGTCAGAAGTCTCAATACTAGCTAGTCCGTTATTCAGGGTTCATATATATGAACAGGCACCCTGCGTTCTTCCTCCAAACACTATTCTGTGGCCAAACTGTACCTTTTCATGAAGAGTGAATTTTTATCGGTTCTGTAGTAAAAGAAAAATGATCATCATGCTTATGATGAGGTTTTGTTGCACGTGCACCAGAATTTTCATGGTCATGAAAACGGCGGAAACAGTGAATTTCAATTTATCTATTGTTATTGCAATAAGTTTACGATAGTTTACATGTTGCAAGCTTTTGTTTCTTTTCTTTTCATCATTATTATGTCCAAATATAACTTAGAAGTTGTATCTGATCTCCACTCAAAAACAGACAGTTATATAATATGGCTTTCCTTTTCAAAAATAAGCATGATTTAGTAAGAGAGATAACAGTATTGTTTTAAATATGTGGAATTTCTTGAAGTTGCATCAATTATTTTTCTAATTCATTATTGATGTCGTAACTTCTATCATCTGAAAAAAGTCTCTGAGAATATAAAAATAAACTGTGGTCAGATGTGACCTCTATTTTGATATGACAAATATGACATAAAGTTTAAACATTCGAACTTAAAAGCAGTTGCTGATCGAGCACAAAAATATTTTAAATTTTATCTCCAGGGCTCCAGAGAAAGTTTATATGAGGAGTTAGGAAATAGAGTCGTTTTTGTCAAAGGAGTGCTGAGGTGAGGGAAATTTCGTAACGTCATTGAAGGAAAAGGTATTTGGCCATTCTGCATTCTGAGAGCATTGACAGTTCTGAATAGTTATTCTAGAGTAATAAACATATCGTGGATGATTTGTGAATTTTGAATGATTTATTTATCATATTATTTTCATCTACGATGAATATTTTGTAATCTTGTATATATTGTGCCTTTATTATTCTTAATATTTATTCGGCGTTCAGTTCGAAAACAATGACTGAACATCTGACGGGTGAAAAATTGCGAAATCACGTTCGAGAAGTACACTTGCTCTGCTCACTTTGAAAACAGTGATTTTCAGACAAATTTGAAAGAGTAGCTTCTATATATGAAGTTTTTGAGGAATGGTTGGTTGACTACAGTCAAGTGATTAAATTAAATCAATAGGATCTTGAGGTGACTTGATTGCTCACTTATTATTGAATATATTTTATAACCTTTAAAATCAAATCAAACACGAAACTAGAATGATTTATTATAATAATTACTATCATGTTGACTTTGTATGTAAATTAGGAATGCCTAATTTGATCAATAGTTCTGCAGTATTATAACGGTTTACTAAGAAAAAATAGATTATATTATGGATTTTCCGGTATACATTCTATATCAGTTCAAATGTAGTTATTTCTCTTTCCAATGACGTCAAAACATGACGGCCTAAATTTTAGACACTCAATAACCCCCCTATAAACTGACTGATTCATCTCGACCACAGAATATTAGTGTTATTGTCAATGGGATTTTAAATGACAAATGACAATGTTGCTAATTCTTCCATCTTCCATAAACCATCTGTGATCTGTGTATCCTCCTATCAAAATTATTTTTCATCCTAGTATTGAAAATATTGATATATATTATTTGTAAATTTGAAATCTGAAACACAACCGATGTGTTTTTAAACAACGTAAATTTGTGTAAATAAATAAAAGGTAGGAAGAAATTTTCATGACAATTATGTCTGTTCTCAGCAATATAAATCAAAATAAAAAATGCTGCTATATGGGACAAAACTCTGTGGGTACTTTCGTAACATTTTTATAGAAATTGTTACCTCTTGTAACTAACATTTCCCATCTTTGATTATCTGTTAAAATTTGGATTGAACCTTTAAATTTTTATTGATATATAGAATGTGGTTCTCCAATTTTGGGAGAGAAAACAAATCTAAACACAAAGCCACTCTCATTGCCATACTTGACGCAGTATTCTAGCATTGTTACCAAAGACCATTGCAATATAATTTTATGTTACTTTGACAAAGTCTTATTTTGATATGAATTCTTTAAAAATACATTAGAATCCTCAGGTTTTTCATTCCTATAAATCCAAAAAATATACAGAAATATTCATTATTAGAATGAAGTTCCTATTTCATTTAGAATACTCTTCTATATTGCTTGAAATGCATTATTTTTTTCCAGGTTCAATTCACAATGAAGAATGAGGAGGAGGAAGAAGTAGATGTGTATAAGCTTATTCTACAGTTACAACACGAAAAATTACTCATTAAAACAGAAAAACATAAGATACAAGAGTTGAATAAATTGATAACTAGCAAAACCCATGACATAATAAGAGATTCTTGGATTACAACAAAGCAACGTTTGTTGTTATATCAACGGGAAAGCACATCCCAAAATTTAAAAAAAATTCATTATTTGCTCAATTCAGAATTTGTGGAAGCCAAACAAATTTTAGGATTCCAGGTAAAATTTTTCATTTAAGGAATAATTTGAGAAATGAAAAGTAGTAGATTAGATATATGAAACATTAGTAAATATTTTGATTGTTGCCAGCAGAATATTTTGAAAACATTTTTGTGAAATGATGAGCGGAAAAACACGATTCTGAAGTCAAAATGCAGTGCTCTCCCTTCATTTCAAAATAATGGTCCCCCGAAGGTCAAAAGAAGGTAACATTCCATCTTTTTTTACACCAAAAAACGATCAAGATACTCATGATTTTATTCACCACTTCACCTTTACTCATTTTTTTACCATGCTTCAAAAGTTTCTGCACAAATTTATTTTTTCCATGGAAAAACGTATTTTTTTTCGATTGGTGTCGAAAGGTTATCATCACCTCACTGCAAATCATAGCGTGAATTTTGTCAACGCTGACAGTGATATGTTTTTGTGATTTCAATTTTTTTTGATAATTACTGAAAATTCATTAATACAATAAAAATATAGTGTAAAAAATGATGGAATTGTCGGAATTTGACTCATGTCAAAATTGGTGTATAGTGGGAAAAAAGGCAGAATTGTTAGCATTGAGCTACAGTTGTAATTAAAAGAAAGAATTACACCCTCTTTTCACCTATATGTTTTCTCCAACTGACCTCTTAGATATAACAAAGGTGTTAGTTTTAGTAGTGTCAACTATTGATATTTTTTTTATAATTAATATAAAACATAATGAAAATAGAAATATAACGTGAAAGGAAGGCAGATTTGTCAGCATTTGACTTTGGGTCAAAGTTGAAACAAAAAATTATTGGAATTTGGCTTCAGTCGAAATTAGTGTATAGATAAATAGGTAGATATTTTCTTCATACACAATAGTGTCAAAATATATACCATGATAATCTCAAAATGAGTGTGGCTTTACATGAAAATGTACTTTTTTTGATAATGCGTATTTTGTCTTTAATCGAGGACCGCCTGTCTTGTACTGACGATACTCAACAGGCTGAAACAGTTGTCTCCCGGTGGCTCCTAAATTGAAATCAATATGACAATTATCAGAAGAGTACTTATCTATTTATCTTTTGATTTTCATGGAATTATTTTCCAGCAGCTTGACCGCATTAACCTTTCTCAATTTCATATCATTTCTTGAAACATGTGGATTCATTTTCCGATGGAATTCCAGGATAGCTTTCAAAATTTCTGCTACCGCAGTTGTCGGTTGATTAGTCAAACCACTAACACTGAAATGAAAACTTGGCAAGCCAATAGGAGGTTCTACTTATGTCTCGCTTGTTAAGCAGTACTTTTCTTACTTATTCACATTTTGTCTTCAGTCGAGGCCGCCTTCCCAGTAGTGAGGATGCCCTACAGGCTGAAACAGCTATCTATCAGTGGTTTTTAGATTAAAATCAATATGGGAATGATCGGTATAGTACTTATCTATTTATCTTTTGATTTTCATGGAATTATTTTCCAGCAGTTTGACTGCAATAACCTTATAATATTTTATGATGCTTAAATAATTCTCTACACGAGCATCTTCGATCCACTTTATATATATACCTCAATGCTCTTTTTTGCAGAATAAACACACTATCAAATAAGTAGGTACTACAAACACCCCAGAAGGCGATTCCATATCTCATGTGGGATTCAATCAGAGCGAAATAAGCTGTTCTGGCCGTGGAACTACATACCAATGTCTAAATATTTTTTGGTTGTATGATTGTTTTTTTTTTATTAATGAACAGATTATAATTCTTTTAATACATACTTATTTCATGTTTGTATTATTATAGCTTTGTTCTTTCACTTACGACCTGATGGTTTTATCTGTATCCTGCAGGTTCTGTTATTACTAGTCCAATAAGTTTATATATATGATATGTGTCTTTTATACATTTGTATGGACTTTGCTGACGAATAAATTTGATTTGATTTGAAAAAAATGGGGGAAAACAATAAGCCCTTAGGGCAGTCGGAAGCAATAAAAAACTTCCAACAAAACTAACGAAAAAGTCCCTTGTAAAATTATATTTTGACATCATTACATCATAAACAGGTTGAGAAGATTAAAATATTTTTATACAAAAAGATGGAACTTGCAAGTGATCAAACATCTGCAGCTTACGATTATGGAAGAGGTGTTATTTTAAAAGTTATTATGACTAAAAGTGAATTCCAAAAATCATTAATTTTTTTGGAATTTGATTCGCTGTCTGTGGAAGTAGATAGAAATGTTAATTTTTGACTTCAGATTCGTGATTGACAGATAAGAAAAATTATGCAATTGAAATTTTCTGAAAAACTAATGGAATCCATTAAAATAAATATTTACTGATCATATAAAGAAATCATCAACTGGATTTATTTCAGAATTCTGTAAAGATTTCCAACTTGCTTCAAGCACTTCGTACCCAACCGAAAGAGCTAGCAAAATGGTTAATTGCGGGAGAACAATTAGCAGAGGATTCACAAAATTATCTGTTTCTATTGGAAAACATTGTTGTTGGCCTGTATGGTTGCTTCATTTTTCCAGAAGATGCAAGGTACATGCTTACTTTGCTGTATGAGCTTGCTAAGGTACAACTGCTGAACTGCGAAGATCCAAGAAGGTAAGGTAATGAAAACTAAAGACATTTGTTGTAGAATTGCAAACATAAATATATTTTGTTTTATAACTTTCTAGTGGTTATAATAATAATAATAATAATACACGAACTGGCTGTGTATGAACCATTTATTATGTCAACTCTAACCTTACAAGTGTTACAGGTCTTGGGTCGTTGTCACCTAACTGCCTATGTTTAGTTGTCAGCAACGTCAATGCTACCTTCCTTTAACCAAGGGTGTATACTTGGTTGTCTACCTTACACCCCCTCCACTATAAGTTTAATTTTTTTGGAGGTTTAATAACCCTACCAAACCTAGACATTTTAGGTTCGCCAATGTTAATATTACAATTATTATTCTGATTGCTAGGCCCTAATGGTACATCATTATCATCTAAGCTAGCCTAACCTAGGTGGTACAAATACATTGTTATGCTTACTACTAACAGGTTGTGTATTAGACTGTGTTGCATCATCAACCCTGTCAAATACCTGCTGAAAAGTAGGTTCGTACTTATTTGAGGATGCTCTTAAGTCAATACGGTTTCGCCTAACAATCTCACCATGATACGATTGGGGTGATGTATGATTTTTGATTATAGCACCTGGTTCCCACTTCATGTGGATATGATTATATACTGTCACATCCCTGCATGGTTCTAATGGTAACAAATCTTTTGCATTTTTGTTGTAATATTTTTTTGAAATACTCTGCTTATTTTTCAACAACTGTGGAATATTTTCACATATCTTAGGTTTGAGTGAATTGGCACAAATTGGAATGTTTTTTTTACAAATTTTGCTCATAAGAAGTTGGGAGGGGGAATATCCCATGTGTTTGAGAGGTGAATTACGATATTGCAATAAAGCATACTCAGTATCCTCTCCTCCTTTCATTGATTTTTTAACTATACTTTTCCCTATACCAACTCCTTTTTCAGTAAGTCCATTGGAACCTGCATAGTTCGGGCTTCTAGTGACTACTGTTATATTCCATTCTTTAGCAAATTTTTTAAACTCATGGCTTTCAAATGGAACATTGTCACATGATATGATATCTGGTGACCCAAAAACTGAAAATTATTTTTGAGTGACTTCATTACAGATTTTGCTGATTTTTCTTTAATGTGACGTACTTCTAACCAATTAGAGTATGAGTCAAATACAACTAAATAGCTTTTATTAGCGTAGGTAAATATGTCAAGTCCTAACCTTTCCCAAGGCCGTTCTGGAATATCGTATGAGTGTAACGTTTCTTTCTGCTGTTTACGTGCATTTTCTTCACAAATTTTACATTTTTTTATGAAGGTCTCAATGTCATAATTAATACCTGGCCAATAAAATAATTGTCGTGCTCGTTTTTTACATTTTTCAATACCAATATGGCCTTCATGCAAAAGCTTTAGCATTTCTATTCTTAGACAAGACGGCACTACCAGTTTATCATTAAAGAGTAATAAACCATTGGCAAACGTTAAATTATCTTTGAGTTTATAAAAATGATGCACGACTTCGAGTACTGAGTTTTTATTATCTGGCCAGCCATTTATACAATATTCTGTAACGACTTTTAAATCTAAATCTTCCTGAATTTTATTTTTAAATTGTAATTTCCGTTCATCGGGCATATTTATTTATGATGGAATGTACAACAAACTGAAATTCTTTATCTAACTTTAGACCTTTTTGCAACAGATAAGCTCGCGATAATGTGTCAGCAATATAAAGATATTTTCCCGGTTTATACTGAACTTCTAAGTCATAATTTAGTAATCTTAATCTCATTCGCTGTAATCGGGGAGAAATAGCAGCCAAATCTTTTTTCATAATTGTTTCCAACGGTTTGTGATCAGAATTTACTCTAACTTCTAATCCGTAAATAAAATAGTGAAATTTTTGGATTGCAAACACTATAGCCAACATTTCTTTCTCAATTTGTGCGTACTTTTGTTCCGTGGGAGTGAGACTCCTGGACGCAAATGCGACTGGGTGCTCATCCTGTAGCAGACAAACTCCTAATCCATCTTTTGATGCATCCGTCTCAATCTCCATTGGTTTCTGGGAATCGAAAAACTTTAGTATAGGTGCTGACGTGAGAATTTGTTTTAATTGAGAAAGCGATTGTTCGTGAACGTCTTGCCACTCCCAAGGGATGTCTATTCTTGTTAACTCTCTTAATGGGGCAGTAATTTTTGACATGTTTGGTAGAAATTTACTCAAATATTTTGCCATGCCTAAAATTCTTAACAAGTCAGTTTTGTTTAGAGGGTTTGGCAAATCAAGAATTGCTTTTACATAAGTTTGATTAGGCTCGACTCCTTTTTTTGAATAGATTTGTCCCATAAATTTTACACTGTTAGACTTAAACTGAATTTTTGAACTATTAAACTTAATGTTATACTTTAACATTAGTTCAAGAACTAATCGTAAATTTTTGTCATGTTCAGATTCATTTTCTCCTGTCACTATTAAGTCATCAAAATAAAGACCTACAACTTCCAAGTCCCCAAAGATCTCAAAGTTCTTTTTTTGAAAAACTTCCGGTGCTAAACAAATTCCAAATGGCAGTCTACAGAATTTGTATCTTCCAAATGGGGTACCAAAAGCGGTGTAATTAGAACTTTGATCATCTATTTTAACCTGGAAATAGCCATCCTTCATACTGAGAACAGTAAAGAATTCTTTATTACATAATTTAACAGCTATTTCCTCAGCTGTCGGGATCAAAAAATGTTCCCTTTGAATTGCTTTATTGAGATACTTGGGGTCAAGGCAAAGAATTTGGAACCCTCCTGGGAGGCTGAATGTGTGGTACTGCATCTTTTTTTAGTATAATATCAAAAACATTCCTGTACATTTTCTTAACATCATCCAGATTCTTAAATTTAACAGATGGACCCTGAGTTATACTAGCTAGCCTTTTAATTAATTTTAATTTTACACAAGCTGATAAACCAAGTAAAGGTAATTGGTCTGCAGTGTCAACTACCAAAAAATTGATAATGCACTGATGGTGATTAACTCTACAAGACAAACTAACTTCACCTAGTGGCTTAATCCTAAAGTCATTACATCCATATGAAACTAAAGTTACTCTAGTTGATTTCAGGGTGTTATCTTTCAACTGTAAACTATTTAAAGTGTTTATAGGCAAAACACTTACTTCGGCTCCCGTGTCAACTTTCAATTCTACCTGATTGTGATATTCAACTGTCACTATTTGTTTCCAGTTATTCTCCATGTCTGTGTTGCTTGTACTCTCTCTCAGACTGCTTTTCTCGAATCGACTCATGGACTTCCGTGATATTGAACCAATTAGCGACAATGAATTCACGTAGATTTCTTCACTATCGCTATCACTATTAGTTGCAGAACTATCAGACTTGTGATCTTCTTCTACATCATGCACATACCTCTTCACTGGTTTTTTTCCAGGTTTCTTTTGAGAACTAGATTTTCTATTTTGAGGACACATTGCTGCAAAATGGTTTCTGCCTTGGCAAGCAGCACACGTTTTTCCATTAGCAGGACATCTTCCATTTACGATATGCTTGTAACCACAAAATTTGCATACACTTTGACTAGAACTAGGAGCAATTTTATCTTGGTGGCTCGTTTGAAAATTATTTTTCCTATTTTTCAAGGCATTTATTTGAACTTCACTTTGTAAAATCTTGGACTGATTCTTGCTTATTTCCACAGCTCTGCAAAACTCGACTGCGTTAACTTTGATTCTCTAAGTAATCTTTCTTGCGTATTTTTGTCAAGGATTCCTGTGACTATCCGGTCTCTTATCATATCATCTTGATCCTGATAGCCTGTGGTTTTTACAGCTTTTCTTAGCTCAGTTAAGAAACTGTCGAACATCTGTCCTTCTTTTTGACATATGCTATTGAACTTGAAGCGTTCAAAAATCACATTCTCCTGGGGCGAGCAATAATCTTTAAACTTAGCTTTAATTGAATCAAGAGATTTTTTTTCTGCATCCGATAAAGTAAAACTGTTATAAAGTTCTAGGCGATCATTCCATATCAAGTTAAGGAAGACTGCTACCTGTATTTCTGCTGGTTTTCCACTCAAACCTGAAGCTGTTAGAAATACGTCAAACTTTTGACTGAAACGCTTCCAGTTATCAGATACAGTTCCATCTACGACAAGGGGCTTTGGCGGTCTAAAAAAGCTCTCCATTTTTTGTTTGATTGTTTCAAGGTTGATAAACGTATTTGTTTCAAGTCACTTAAGCAAGGTTTCTAGCTAACTAGTCACTAAAATCACACCTGACACCATGTTTTATAACTTTCTAGTGGTTATAATAATAATAATACACGAACTGGCTGTGTAATGACTATTTATTATGGCAACTCTAACCTTACAAGTGTTACAGGTCTTGGGGCGTTGTCACCTAACTGCCTATGTTTAGTTGTCAGCAACGTCAACGCTACCTTCCTTTAACCAAGGGTGTATACTTGGTTGTCTACCTTACATATTTCATTCGAGTTCAGTTGCAATTAGGAATGCTAAATTCTTTATAAAAGTGTTGAATGACGAATTGTTTACTTCTTTGATAATGACTCTGCTCTTTCATCCTTGAAAATGTTTCCAAAGACAAAATTATATAAGTCATAAATTTTAAAATCATCTATGTATAAAGTAACATTCGATTATAGCCTAGTGCATATAAAATAGGATTTTTGTGGGAAACATATAATATTATACAATCTTTGAATCCACTTCCACTGAAATAGAGGAATGCGGGATTAAAAATGATTATTTTTTTCTCCACACGGTTATAGACCAGGTGATATAAACTGTTCTAATCGTTTCATTAATTCGTATTTCTAGTTGAATCAACTATCAATCTTGCTCTGTTTGAATTACAGATAAACCAATGAATTCTGAATATTTCAATGCAATATCCAAGTCATATTACTCGGAAATTCTTTTAATGGTGATGTCATATGAATTATCTTTAATCAATTGATAAAATAAATCACTGGGTCATAGTTATTCATGCCACATACCTTTTTCATTTTAATGTAATTATTATGTTAGAATTGCTTAATAATGTGTGTTATGTTCTGTAATGGATATGATAAACTCAAAACACAGAATACATTGAATAATAACTCAGTGATGGTTAAATAAACCCAGGATTGAGACTTACCCCTTTCTCGTTTTTTGCTGTAGGATTCAACTGCTTCAGGGAAACTATTATGGCAAAGTAGGGATGGATCAAGGAGTTTTAGGAGAAGCAGTGTTGAAGAAAACTTATTTCAGCAAAAGAATAATGCACACATTAGTCTATACTATACAATAGAATCACCAGCGCGTATCTTATTTCTTTTCCGATCCAGTCGTTCCGAATGTTTCTAATTTCAAAACTAAACTACTCAACTAAGTAAATTTATTCTATCAAAACCGAGAGCGGTGTTGCCGAAAACTTAAATTAATTTTCCTTAAATATATACATGCCAAAACAATGTGTAAAAAGGAAAATATTTTAAAGAGAGATTAGTTTTTGGAATTACATTTTTTCAGCTTTCTGCTTCTTAATAATTAATAAAAAAATAAGGAAAACTTCCAGAGAAGGAAAGGAAAAAAATAACTACAGTATAAACTTTCTTTTAGAGACCAACTGCAAATCCAAAATTTGCCCGATTCCTCTGAATAAGGAAGAAACACTTTCTTATTAGTCAGTGGGCTATGCTTGAAGACTGGCCTTAGTCAGTGGGCATAGCCCACTGACTAATAAGAAAGAGTTTATTCATGTGAAAAGATACCTACAAGATTCTCTTTTGATCTCAAACTGGATTTTGAGAATTTGGGTAAAACAGTTACTTTCCTATCCTTATCACTTTTTGGAGCCCGTTGAAAACAGGCATAATAGGAATTATTCATATAGAAGCTGAGACTTCGAGATACAACTTTCATACTCGCAGTAAACTCACATACTAGTGATGTGCCGAGTACGGTTTGACTCGACTCCTGCTTTAGAACTAGCCTACTCGAATAGCAATTTATTTTGATTCAAGTACGCCGAACTCGATTCCGGTACTTGAGTCAGGAAGAATTGATTCGTACTCGCTAACTCGATTCTATTTATGCGAGTCCAACTGACTCGAGTCAGTTGGCTTTGGTACGATGTACAGTCGCCAGCACGTCAAGCTATACAAATCTGTCAAATTTCTGAAATCGATTTTGAACTTTATAGCGAAATAATAAGGTTGGTTTCCGTTTGGGAAAATTTGACAGTTTGTGGTAACTTGATGGGCTGCCCACCGTACGATCGTCTATTCCTAATCGTACGCAAAATATAGTCTTTTCAAATATTAGAATAAAATGAGAAAACAAAATCCGATTAATTTTATTTGTCGATATAAAAAATCAATAACAACCTACAGTATTGTTTTTTTATTGTTCATAATGAACTCATCCAACCATTTTTAAACTTGAACAAGCTTTAAACTTTTTTTTCGTATTTTTAAGAATGCATCCAATATTTTTAAAACTCCATAGCTTATCGATGATACCGGGGTTCACCACGCAATTTAACTCTTACTTTGAGGTTATGTTACGACATTATAATACAAATACAGACTCGAATTTCTAGACTCGAGTCCCATCGGACTCGATCCATCAAGAACAGCGACTTGGTACTCTAGATTCCATTCGACCTCAGCCTACTAGCCCGGAACTTTAGCTATTTCAATCTACACTGGAGGTCCACTGGAATCTATTTTCATAGATAAAAATACAGAAACTAATTGTATTTTCTAAATAAGCACTTATCCAGTTGAATGTATTGTGGTCAATGCCTAATATCACGAGAATAATATTCAATACACTTCCTAAGAAACATCCTAGGAAAGTTTCTAGGTATAACCCCGTATCTGCCTTATATTTCTACACACTTCAATTGTTTGTGAAAATCTTCATTTGCATCTGGAGCTAGAAATTTGCCATCAACTGTTCCAAAATTATGCAACACTATTTTATATTATTCTATTTCGATTTTCAGAATTATTAAACAAAGAACTTGCTCCTTCAAACATTTATATTTTCTATTCCACGAAGTGTTGCAATCTGCCAAATTCTTCCTGAGTGCCGCCATGGAGATTCCTATCATACAAATGATGTCTTGCACAGATTATCACTTAGATGTGGACCCTGAAAAAACGGCCATGAGGTGAAACAATTTATTATGAATGAAACATTCAGTTTGAAATCGAGTTTATGATTCTAGGTTCAAACAAGATGAAAATGAAGTTGCCAGTTTATTTCAAGATGTGGAGGAGTACAGGAGAGATGTTATAATAAAACTGGTTGAGTTCACCAATCATTTTATAACATCACTTTTAGAGAATGTGTACAGCTTTCCAAAGTCTGTTGCTTGGATTGTGTCCCAAATAGCAAAAATCATTGAGAAATCTTTCAGCGGCAAACAGGTATGAACCAATAACTTTATCAATATCTCTGTTTACTCAAGAGTTGGGGGGTTGTCAAAATAAGAAGAAAAAAAGATTTTCCAAGATAGTCTTTTTAACAAATAGTATCAAATTTTGACCTGATTTGAGAATGTAGGTTAGGTCCAAAGTGAGTGGGTCTATTCGACCCTACATCGCAACCCGCAAGGTTTTATTGTGGCCCACACCTATTCACACTCGACCAAATAAACTAGGCTTTTTAACGAAGCCGATTAGTTTGTATGCTGAGTGGTCTTTCAGGTCAGATGGTAAGAGTACGGTTCTGCCAAACTCTAAAAACCAGAATTGAATAGAACTGGCCGATACTTGATGAAAATCGATATTAAAAAACTAATCAATATAGTTTATTGTATGATTTTCACTATAAACTTATAAACAGATCTACTGACACATTTCAAGTATCACAGGGAGGTATCACAGTTGAAATTATGGTTCAATTTTTCTTTGAAGATACAGTGTCAACTGTCTTCATTTCAAGTATTTTGTTTCAATTTTCACTAATTTCAAAAACAGAATTTCCAAATATATTCTTTATGATCTGATGGGTGCAGATGTATTATTTATTATTCTACCTATTTTACTTTTTTTATGTACTTCAAAATGGGGTTTTTCCATCTTATAGCTAAATAAGTAGGTATACCAAGATGGCGGCCGACAAAAGTGTTTAGATGGGTCGAAAAAATGTTGCAATTATTGTAAAAAATACATCAATTCGGGGTTATGCTGTGTCACCTGTGATTCTACCTACCACAACAGTTGTGCAAAACGAGTTAAAGTATGTTGTGATGTGTTTCCTAACATAATATACCAGGCAGCAGATCAAAATACAGAGGTTTTATCTGAAGTGGATTACTTGAAAGAGGAGAACAAGCTCCTGAGGCAGATAATTTTGGACAAGGACACAATTATCAGTGATAAAGAAACTCTCATAACACTTCTTAAAGAAAAAATAACTTTGTTAGAAAGCAATTCACTTCGCTTATTGGTAAATCCAGTATCTGACAAGGCATCTCTTAAAATTCCACTGGTGGGACAAAAAAAGCTGAGAATAAAAACTTATCTCAGCAAACAAACAAAAGTAGCAAAAAGACATCCAAAGATAGCAATTGGCCGGACACAGTTGTCTCTTTGGAAATACAGGATGTCCTAAGCAAGACAGTAAACAAAGAATTTCAACTGCTGCAAGAAAAAACATTAGAGAAGTGCAGTGAAATTATTCACCTGAATGACGATCTTGAAATTAACCATGACAGCATCTCCAATGATAACGATTGGAAATCAGTCTCTTACAAGAAACACATAAATAAAAAAAATTGATGGGTCACCATTTCCTCCTAAATTGTATGGCACAGGGCAACCGAACAACCTACTCCCAGTTGCACCAAAAAGAAATTGGATTTGGATTGGTGGTCTTGATCTGTGCACCACCCTTGAAAATGTTAAACGATATTTGAGGGAAGCGTTTCCAGATAAAAGCATAGACTGTTTTGACCTGAAATCTAAATAGAAAAAGAAGTGCTTTAAAATAGGAAGTTTCGATTTACCTTTGGACGAACTTCTGGATCCTGATAACTGGCCCTCTAATTTATCTATACATCCCTTTCACGATCAGTGATCAACAATATGCTACATATATCACATCCAAAATCTCTGCTGATGGTAACTCAGGGGTTTTATCCGATTAAAAACAAAGTAATAACTATTCATTAAAAATACTTCAATTGAATGCACAGTCAGTGACTAATAAAATTAACAAATTGGAAGTTCTCGCATCAGAAGAGATACCGGACATTATTAGTATTGTTGAACACTGGTGTGATATTGAAAATATTGAGTTCATGTCTATACCTGGTTATGAAATTGTATCCAAATTTTGTCGCTCAACTCATATACGTGGGGGAACGGCAAAACACATAATACAATTTCTTTTTAAATAAGAACGTCGTTGAAATTCTCTTCAAAATCCCTATTTTATTTGTATTGTTCTTGCTTAAATTAACGGATCAGAGGGCCTAAATAAAATGGTATCGACTAATAATTTAATAGAGCTGGAAGACCATTTCAAAACTTGCAATTTGAATAAGTCAGCACTCCTAACAACTACAAATTCTACAGTTTTCTCCGGAGAATTCAGACGGGAAATTGAGTTGAGAGCTACTGATTTCACTTGCCAAAGACAGCAATATTGCATGTAGAAGCAAATGGCTACTTCATTAACTTCCACATCAAGTTCAATCAGGAATAGTAACCCCCTCACTGGAACCCTATAAATTGCACAAAAAAATAAAGTCACTCACCAGTTGTTCTTGAATACGTATTAAGTTACCTCTTGAGGGTCCTTACGTCCACAAAACCTCTCGTATCCAAAATAAGTAACAAAGGAAAAGCCCCAACTGCATACACAGTATTGTATCCACCTTGTAGTGAATATTATTGGCGAAAAGTTCTTCCTAATATCGCTTTGAAATGCTTCACTCCACAGATATTAGACTCTTTCACAAACAGGAGCAGAGACAACGATGATAACCAATTCCTTCTTAACGTTGAAGCACTCAACTAACTATAATAAGCCACATTCTACTTCTACATAACGTTCCTACTCGAGTTCTCACTTCAGTGCCCTTCCCTATTCTTGTAAATCAAGTAAATAAGTTTACATTACTCCAAATCTTATTGCACAATAGAGAAAAAGGTACAATTTCGAAATACCAACACATACACACGACCAGAAGAGAACTTGTTTATCAAAACCTAGATCAGCTGTTCGCTTTTTTTTCCCTTTTTATTTTCAAGGAACGAATTCTCCACTTGAACGAGCTGCGAGCGAACGGCGAACGGCTTATCGGACCAATTTAGTTTTTGAAGTTACGGGGTGGACCATCCAAACCGTAACAATATAACAAAACTGATATAGATGAGAGCTTTTTGGCCTTCATGAATATTATAAGTGATGCTAGCGATAAATGTCCGACCAAAAAACACAAATCGTCCACTAGTAACAAACATAACTGGATAACTCCTGAAGTGAAACAGGCCAGTCTTGATTTGAAAAGTATGCATTGGTTATGTAAAAATACAGGCAACGTGCTGCATACAAAAAAGCGAAGAAAGACTATGAATCATTAATAAAAGCTTCAAAGTTTGGAACCTAGTCAACAAAGAAACGAACAGAAAAAAATTCAAAGAGATATTACTCTCAACTATAATAATAAAGTAATCACAGATAGAGATCATGTTGCGAACATATTTGGGGACTATTTCTCTTCAGTGGTAGAAAATAGCTTAGCAGACCATTTTGGCGACAATAGATCATCCGTATAGATCATCATAGAAATTCTCCTATCTTCCAATGATTTTATATTTAACTTGGTTAAGAGTTGACTGTACTCATATTCATTTCGTTGAATTCCAAAGTGAAAAGCACAATTCTTTAAGAATTTCTTTTGAACATTCTCAATCAAATCGATATTTACATTATAGTATGGGTCTCATATAACCGAACAATATTTAAGTGTATTTATCGCTGAATAGTTATATCATTAGAGATCAAGTGAAACTAATTCTAGGCCAATGCTGTTACCAGTGAGTTGATCTTCACTCTGTATGTATGTCCTGTGATTGTGGATCCAGAGCAGTATGGTATTTGTACTTCTCAAGTGACCGATATCAACAGACATAACCTCATTCAAGTTTGCCAGATACTTCAGTCACTGGCTTTGAGCAAATTCGAGCCGATCGATCCACGATTCTCTGATATTTTCAATTTGTTGGATAAAAACAGGATGAACAATTTCATTGATTTGTTATTTTTTGATATGGATACAGAAGAACCCCCCATTGAATCTTCACCTGCTATTTCAAGGGACATTATGCTTTTTACCGAGGTTGAACTCGACAATCTGGTGAGTTTTTTTCATAAAATTACTAACTCTAAGAAAAATGAATGAGAGAGGGAATATGAACTAGTTTCTAGTGATGAAAATGTAAATTTTGGTAATAAGAAAGGGTAATTATGAGATGAAATATTTTTACAATTATTTTTGGTTCAAAACATTCTGTAATTATTTAGTACTTTTTGTCTGTCATGAAAAACTAAAAAGTCTTGAATGGAAAATGTAATATTTATATACAATTTCAAAGTGCCTTACTATTGTAATTGAGTATTCTTTTTAGGTTTCTTTCATGCAGAGAGTACATGTGAAGAGCAATCATAATGAAAACTTTTCGAAAGATACTACAATTGAAGAACATTTAACTTCTTTAACCATACCATCCACGGATAATTCTCCAAAGTCAAGCCGTTCAGTAAATAATGAGGATAACTTGAAACTATCTAATTTCTTCATATCAGGTAAGAGTGGAAATGATTAAACTATCATGTCTTAAACTGTCAAAAATAATAAGTTTTAGGTTACCACCTAATGATAATTTGTAGAATCCTTTATTCACTTATTAGCATAGTTCTAATTGACAATCATGAAGATATGCAGTATAAAAAAAAATTGCAAAATAATGGTTGATATTTGAATTGAAGGGGTTATATTTTTAGGAGTGATTAATTTTTGGGAAAGAAAGTTTTTGGCTTTCTACTACTCTATCTTGATAGAAAAAATGTGGGAATCTTCCGTAGAAAGGAAGGAAGTAATCAATTTGAAAATAAGTAACTCTATACATGGATGTGTAGATCATGCAAATAAATGACTTTCAGACACAAACTGAAAGAAAGCCCTCCTGAAACAGCTTCTTTCATATAAACATTGAATTACACGACAGAAAAAAATCCTTCGAAAAAAATACTTTTATACGAACACTGAAGATACTTTCCTCTACTCAGTGTATATTCCAAACATTCGTTATGGAATAAAATCAGATATCATTCACAGGAGATACTTTCCTCTACTCAGTGTGTATTCCAAATATTCGTTATGAAATAAAATCAGATATCATTCACAGGAGTTCTACTTTAAATGAATGGTAACAAATTGCACTTACATGGAACACTGTCATCCTCACTGGTAGACATCGATGTTTCGCAGTAAGACACTTAAGGCCCTTCAGTACCAAATTGGATAACATTATAGAAAAAAAATTTATATATATTTTTTTATTTTTTTCAATTCATTGAACTTAATTATTAGAAAAGTTCAGGAAATAGCATGCAAATAAATAAGTGTATGTTTTTCAAGTAGAATACTTGTATTTATAAGAAAATTATTTTGAAAAATTGCTCAAAAAAATTAATTTTTTACAATAAATTGATTAATTAATGAAGAAAAGAGATATGAAACTTTCTATGTTTTTACCACTTTTATTTGTATTTTCAAACTTATACAATATATACATTTGAAAATGTCCTTATAGGACGAAACTGCAGTAACGTTAGTTACAAATAAAAGTGGTAAAAAACATAGAAAAGTTTAATTTCTCTTTTCTTCATTATGATTTCCTATCACGTAGTAACGGCTACATCGATCAATTAATTGATTAATTAATCATCATCTTCATCACAAACAAGTCTCTGTGATCAGCTGTGATGGCGTCATGGCAACAGAATTCAGAGTGGGGATGGAGTGAGAGAGTAATAGATAGAGAAAAAGTGAATAGAGAATAGAGGAATAGAAACTTGGAGAGGGAAATATAGGTATCACACAGCTGCACACATTAAACTTTTGCGACGAATTTTTGTTATTTAGTTCAAAATAAAAAAAATAGCTACGCTCGAGAATGTCCAAATGACGTTATTTTTCTACAACTTTGCTGCCTTCCCCTTTCTTTACGTCACTCTCAAATTGTCAGATTACTGGAATATACACTTTTTAGCATGTAATTAACTCACCCTACCTTAATCTGACGCACTCGAGAATTTCTGATGATAATTTTTTTTTTACTAATCTGATCCTTTATCCCTCACAGGCGGCCTTATATATGGGGCTCATATTTGGTGGAGGTACTTAACCGGGTACAAGGTATCCCCCTGTATATTAATCTGCCGCGCTTTAGTAAATCTCGAAATACCCGCTTGGGCTCCTCTATTATAGGCCAAGACTTATCGAACACACACTCTCTTATTGACGATAACTCTGGACACTCGCATAGGACATGCCTGACAGTTTAATCTTCCTGTTCACACATCCTGCATAGAGGGGTGTCCACTAGCCTCATATTAATAATAATAATAATATTATGGAGGTGTTTCCTTAGTTGACAGTGGCCAGTCAGAAATCCTACTGTTGAGCTTAGATTTTTCCTGGTCATCGCCAGATATTTCTTCGGCGCCAGCCGAAAGGTTATGAAGCTGGAAAAAATGGGTGCTCCAAGATTTGAACGATCAACAGAAATTGTCATGTTTTGGGGTCTCTTCTTTTTTGCTTTTGCGCAACCAAGACAATCCTTTTTTTGTGATCAAATCGTCCTGTGTGATGAAAAGTGGATCATCTACAATAACAGGAGATGTTCAGGACAGTGGTTGCACACCAATAAGCCAACAAAAGAAGGCCGAATCTGCTCTACGACAACTCCTGTCCACCCTTTCACGAGTCACCGTTCGAAAATTAAATGGATTAATAGTCAAAGATTTTTCTCACCCACCATATGCACCCAGACCTCTCGCCAACCGACTATCATCTTTTCAAGCATTTCTATAACTTTCTACTAGAACTTTCGCCAATCAAGACATTGCAAAAACAACCTTCGTCGATTTCATCAAATCTTGAGCACACAATTTTTATGCCGAGGGGATTAATCAGATTGTGTTACAGTGGCAAAAGTACACTGATTAAGATGGCGCTTATTTCGATTAAATTGAATGAGTATTCACTAATATATTACAATTAATTACACTCATAAAAACGGACAAAACTTTTGAAATAACCTAATAGTTTGAAAATGCTACAGTTTTGTATAAATAGACACCAATTCCAATAATTCTGAAAAATATTTACAAAAAAAAATTCATTTAAATCTGAGTACTTGCATTCCACAACTCTAACGCTTTATTCTACTCAGTTAAGGCAAATATTAAAATACATAAAAGGTCACCAATCTACAGAATGAGTAAAATGTATTCTCAGTTACTGAGATCTGTTGACGTGTTTGCAGAGCCACCCCTTGAAGATTTGAAGATGTTATTAAGACTCTGTTGTTTGACCGATAATTTATGTTGTTGGTATTTCATAATAGATTATATTTTTTGAGTCATTAACTGGTTTCTGAACCCTTATTCTATGTTTTTTCTCTTTTTATATTTATACTTGAATTGTCTTTTAAATGGATATCTTATGTAGGTACGAAAAACCATGTAGTACCAGCAAACACCGACGATGCCAAAAACTCCAACAACGTTATTCTCATATTCCCAGTAGATCAAGTTGCCTCTGATCCTGTAGGACTCATCCCCGAGGGGAAAATAATTGACGCCATACCCCTCAAGAATGACGAGATATTTCAGATCACTCCAGCCAAAGGGCCGACCAATATGCCTGATACTTCTCCTCAGAATGGAGATATGAAACAGTCCTTTGCATATCCTGATGAAGGGTCTATTGGTAACACTTCGGATAATTTGGAAGCGATCTCGGAAGCAGCTAGCAATCATTCAGTGGACAGTAGCATAGAATTGGAAAACGAGGATCAGAATGATAATTTGTCTGATATGGTTTCGGCAAATGTCTCAGGTAACGGATAGTTTATGAAAATTAATTTTTTAAATTCTGGTGAAATCTAATTTAATAATATAGGGTCTTTCTTCAAGCGTTTCCTATTTTTAAATTTAAATAGAACAAAGTGTTTGTGAGCTATCATCAACATTTTTTATTTGTTTGAAAGACCTACTGATGCCATTATGTGTGGAATATAACATCGTTCAAATGTTCGTAACGGCTTCTTTGGGTGGAGCGCATTCAAAACGTCCAATATTCAATGACTCTGGCGGATAAATCAGGCTAAATTTGACCAACTGCGTGGGTTATGTTGGCTTTGAGGATCGCTGTGGTTTGTGGCTTATTCGCATACAACTGTGACTTGAGAAAACCTCCCATGAAAAAGTCTAACGGGGTCAAATCGCACGATCTCGGTGGCCGGTTCACATCACCTGCACGTGAGATGACCATGCACTCAAATCGCTCGTGCAGAATATCCAATTTGGCATGAGCTATGTGGCACATAGCGCCGTCCTGTTGAAACCACATGTCATTGGTGACCAGATCATCCAATTCAGACCAAAAGAAGTTGGTAATCATCGACCTATAGTGCTTGCCGTTGACAGTGATGGCCTGGCCAACGTCGTTCTCAAAGAAATATGGACTGATGACGCCGCTGGCCCAAACTCCATACTACCCCTGTAATTAAATTTATTAAATAAATAAATAATAATCTTTTATTGAAATAGGTAATCCTAATCTACATTCACAAAGTATAATCTTATATATAGTAATTAGCAGCTCCTTCGATAGTATTAATATATTTGTTTTGTTTTAAATTTAAACGTACACACTAGGTATTTACATTTCGAGTTATATTTTCCATTGTTTTGCTAAAAGAAAACCATTCAAGTACAGCCAAATACCATAATAATCATATACAATCCTACATATGAACCAATAAGAATGCTATCCCAATATACACTTATAGCCCGAAAGAAAATACATATATTGATACCATTCACCTACAGCCAAATACCACAATAATCATATACAAACATACATAAGAAACCAATAAGTTATGCTATCCCACTACCCACTATACACTCATATCCCATAAGAAGATACATATATTAATACTCGTATTGATACTAAAAATTATTAATCCTGATAGATATACAATACAACGATTTTACTTTTGCTGTAAATGGTTTATCATTTTTATTTTAAACTGTTGCAGAGTTTCTGATTTCTTTATATCATCTGGCAACCTGTTGTAAGCAATGAATCCCTTGAACACCAAGGTTTCAATATTGTAAGCTTTTGTGTGCTTAGTCACATGTAAGTTATGTTTACTTCTCGTATCATGCTGGTGAACTTGCGTATTGATAGTTATATATTTGTGAAAATATGATGGACAATAAGGTGAAAGAATCCTGGAAAATCATCAAGGAAGCTCAGAATGGTTATACTGGCAATACCATACCTTGTCTACAAAGTGCTGAAGATGGTGACATTCTTTCTGATAATTTTGCTATATGCAACCTTTTCAGTGATTATTTCTCAACTGTCAGTAGTAGCATATGTAAACCAGACACTAAAAATATCAATTATATGAAATCTGCTCATCAAAGTATTTATTTATATCCAGCAACTAAAATAATGGAAATTGAACAAGTTATCAAATAAATTTTAAAGAAACAATCGTCCAGTATTGATGAAATTCCTGATCATGTTATTAAAAAGGTTGCCAATGTGATTTCTGAGCCTTTGACTCATATGGTTAACTCCACTTTCATTGAGGGGAGGTTTCCTGATATACTGAAAATGCCAAAAGTTTTGCCAATATATAAAAATAAGGGCTCTCGATCTGACTGTGCATCTTACATGCCTATATCGCTACTTAGTCAGTTTTCTAAGATTATTGAATACTGTTTCTATCAAAGGATATATGATTACTTTGAATCGTTCAGATTATTTTCTTCTAGTCAGAATGCTTATAGAAGAAATAAATCTACAGTTGGTGCAATTGATCAACTCAGCAGGCTCTACGATTATTTTTTGATTTGAGCAAAGCCTTTAACCTCGTTGACCATGACATACTGTTACACAAATTGCAGTTTTATGGTATACGTGGCTCTGCATTGAATTGGGTTGGATCTTACCTGACTGATCGTAGTCAGCTGGTCTGCGTGAATGGAATGAATTCTGAAAAAAAATGTATATCAAGAGGGGTATCTCAAGGCTCTGTTTTGGGACCCCTTTTATTTTTGGTTTTTACAAGTGATCTTCCGAAATTTTGTTCAAAAGCTTCCATTACTGTTATTTTTGCGGACGATAATAATAATAATAATAAATGCTTTTATTGAAAGGTTACTCAGTACAAGGGATACTAATCTAACCTAACAAATGGCAGAATTCAACGTCTGCGCATGACGAATCAAGGCAGAAATTGCTCTTCCATCTACATCTTGGTATCTGGGGGAACTATGTCTGAAGTAATTGTCAAAGCTAATGAAGTAACTGATCAAATTTCTGCGAGGTGTTCTATAAATGGCCTGCTGCTAAATTCTGCTAAATCTCAAATGCTCAACTTTGTTACTAAAAATACAACAATTGATAAAAGCTATTTGGTCAGATTTAATAATGAAACTTTACATCAAGTTAATTGTACTGAATTCTTACCTGGAAGTTCCATGTTGATAGTGTCAAACTGAAGCTCAGTAAACACATATATTTACTTCGTCAGTTGAAAAAACAGTCTCTCGTGATGTTCTCAAGCTTTTATACCACAGTTTAATTCGGTCAGTAATTTCCTATGGTCTTGAACAGTGGGGCTTATCAAATAAAGCTGATGAAGTTTTTGTTATTCAGAAAAAGGTAATCAGAATTCTGGCTGGTGCATCTTCAAGTGAACACTGCAGGCCATTATTCATTCATTGTAGTTTATTAACAATGCCTAGTATATCTACCAAACTCTGATTTATATAAAAAACTTTATTTCAATTATTCTTAGAAATGAGCAAATCCATGAACATTTCACTAGAAATAACTCTCAACTACATCAACTTCATAGTAGATTGACAGTATCAAAGAATCACCCAATGTGATGTGGGGTTAAGCTATAAAATAAGCTTAGTGAGGACATTAAATCCTCAAATATCAATGTCTTTAAAAAGCGACCCAAGAATTTTCTATTGGAAAAAACATACTACTCTGTGGATGAGTTTCTCCTTGAATCCTAATTTGATTGTAGCTTTTCAACTTTTTTTAATGTATGTTTTATATTGACTTTTTTATGTTTGACCTGTTGAATCAGCCAGTATTTTATGATGATGTTATGTTTTTTTTTGTCTAATGTGATTGTGAAAGAAAACTGATTCAATGAATGTTTGATTGATTAATTGATTGTGTCTTGGTTGTGCAGTACAATACATATCTAGAATGTATCATTATTGAAACTGCCCTACTTATTCAAAAGAAAAATAAATAAAATGTTATATTATCTGTGGTTTGTTTTGTTGAAGGTTAGTTCTTACATCCTCATGAAAATTGATTCGTTTTTGATTAGTTACTCTGAAACAGTTTCATTTGAATTTTGCGGGTAGAAATCTACATTTCAGTTACTTGATGAGAACACATCAGTTTTCCAGACTGAAGTTTATGCAAACTTGCAATGTGCAAGGAACATTAATTTGAGGCCCCACAGACAGTGAGGCTATAGTTGGATCTCTGACAACCCAAAAGTCACATTGAGACATTGCCATGCAGAACTGACGGACAGGAATAGATTGACTATAAACTGGATGCCAGAACACTCAGGCATCGCAGGCAACAAAAGAGCTCTTGAGTGCCAGACACGAATTCATCAACTCCATATTTAGGCTCTGAACCAGCTGTGGGAGTACCAAAGACCATATGGTATGGAACAATATCGGAAAGTGGGTCTCTAATGAAGTACATAGATAGTACTGGGAAGAACTACCAGGAAACATGAGAAAACCTTTATAAATTGATGAATGTAGCCGTTACTAGTTGGGGGAGATCATAAAAAAATGAGAAATGAAACTTCTTGTTTTTTTACCAATTGTATTTGTATCTAACGTTACTGCAGGACATTTTCAAACGAATACAATAAACATATACTTTATAAAGGGACGTCCGAGAAGTGAATTGAAGAACTGCTTCGATAAAGCAGGGATCGGCTCAGAATAATCACAGGACTACTCACTGGTCACTGTCCATTGAGAGAAAACCTGAACGAAATAAGGCTGTACAATGGCGACCTTAACTGCAGCAATGCAACAAAGGGGCAGAGACAGCCCATTATATTTAATGTCAATGTGAGGCGTTGGATCACAGTAGGCAAACAATTTATGCACAGTCTAATTTATGAATTCGGAAAAATCACTCTGTCGCAATGCAACAAAAGAACAGTGACAGCTCGTCATATTTTATACGAATGTGAAGCATTGGATAACAGGTGGCAAACAATTCATGGACAACCTAAATTATCTCCAGAAGAGTATGACATGCATCCAGCAAGGGACCTATAGAAACTAGAACAGGACACAAAATTGTTAGAATCGGTGTTACGAAAAAGATGGGAACATGGGCAATATGCCCATGAGGCTGCAGTGTTTTTTGAGGACTTAGGAGAAATGGTCAAGTCAGATGGATCCCAAGTGGTAGAAAAAAAAACAATACATTTTCGTAAAACAATATATATCCCATTCTTTGGTCGAATTTATTCGTTGAATTTAGGAACCCTCAAAATTTTTATTGATGTAAAAATTGAACCAGTTGACTGTTGATATATTTGGAAATAATGATTGATAAACTTCTGACATGGAATAACCACATGAACAATATGTTGAAAAAACTGTGAATATTACTGCCAAAATTCTATCTGCATTCCCCTCTCACTACTATTATCATTATTATTATTAGAGTATAATATTTGGATAAATTTTTAATTCTTTTTTTCTTTTTTTTCATCGTCTTGAATTTACATGTGTATGTCATTGTTTTTTCATTTGAATTGTTTAGAAATAAAAACAAAAGAAATGGATAAAGCTGCACAATTGACATATTCTTCCGCTTCATTAACTTATTTATGAATTTATATATCTACATAACTGAAGAGTAACTATTATTTATCAGGTAGAGGAACACCAAACATCTCAGGTCGTGACACCCCCAGTTCTCAAGTCTGTGAAAATGATGACCGCGTTTTAGTTGAACCACGCCAAGCTGATGTCGCCCAGCCTCAACCTAAACTCAACAAACAAATCCGATCGGAAATTGATGATAAATTCTGCAAATTTGAAATAAAAAAGTTATTGGAAGGAGACGAGACGATATCCATCATCTCGGAAACGTGGAGTACAGACGTTTTGGCTTCTGATAATGAAACAGTGGACCTGTCCGAATCCAGGCAACAAATCCAGCTGGTCGAGGCCATACAGGAAGTGCCAAGCATCTTGGACTTGTCTCTTTCTGAGACCCAAAGTGAAAGCGCTTGGTCTACAGATGTTATGACTTCAGACACAGATAGGTTAACCGAAGTCGATAACGATGATTCTGTAAGCGTGGCCCAGTCAGATGACACAAGATCCGAGACAGACGACGTCTGTGGAGTAAGAAGACTTTCGTCGTCATCAAATTCATTTGTTCCAGTTCCAGGCAGTCAGAACTATGTTTCAAGTGTTACTGTTCATAATATGAGCTACTTGCCTACTAACGGTCCGAGTACAGCCACTAATACCAAGAAGTATGTCAACTCTTCGAAATTTATGGAATACGGGAAAGTTGATATAAAAAATGATAGAGTTATTGGAAAAATTTACCGAACGGAGCAGGTAGACAACAACGCCAATAGAGTTTTCAAGTCGTTAACTTTGGGGCACTCTCCCTTGTCGACTGAGACAAGCGAAAGCAAAACTGCAATATTCAAACCGTCTTCAGTCAAGAATGGTGTACTGTGCAAAGAAGTGGAACTGAGTAACATTGCAGGTGAGTTTGTCTTTACCATTAGTTTGAAAATATGCTCTTTTACTATCTCATGATTATTGTGAATTTATTCGCGAATCTCTTTGCTGATGATATGAGTTTGCAAAGAGGCTTTGAAAAAATTGATAGCACTCAAATATTTATTATTTCCTTGAACTCTAGTTGAATAATAATAAGATCAGAGCTATGATTATCACAACACTCTACAGATATAACCTGATTGATGAAATTTTTCAACAATTTATATTCGTGGTAAAATTATTGAAATTGTATACGAAGTTAAATATGTAGGATTTGTTGTTAATGTGTGTGTGCATGAGTGCGTATGTGTGAGCTCATAAATTAAATATTTTAGTAAAGTACATGATCAAAATAAGTTTACCGTCTATATCAATAGTTGTCAAGTCGTTGGTATATAGGAGAAATAGGGTAGGGCCAAGTACTGAGCCTTAAGGTACTCTGTTATGAGAACAACTTCTGCTAAAAACATTTAGAATGTCTGCAGGATTGTACTTATCATTGATAAACTAGTGTATAGGTTTATAACTCTATTTGTGCTATTGAGCTTCAAGCCACCGATAATAAATTAATCATATTAATATATTATGCATAGACTAGTATTTGAAAGAATTCTCTATATTGATTTTGTAACATCACATTGCCTTTATTTAAATGTTCTGTAATTTAATCAGACTCAACAACTATTTGAGCTTTCTTTCCCTATCTACTGAAAAACATTTTTCATCAGTTTTAATTCTTTCGTATAGTGTTCTTTGAACTCTCCAAATAAATTCTTGAGATTCATTATGTCCTAGAATGTGCTTTAAACTCAATAATGAATTTCTCAGGTACTAGTGGAATGGTGGAAAATGAGAAAAATCCACAAAACCGCCCCAATGAAATATTGTTGAGCAACTGCAGTCTGAATTCAAGCTCAAGTGGTTCAAGTAGTCACAGTTTTGAAAACAAGAATGCTTCGGAGCAGTGGGAAAACAAACAATGGCTCAACAGTTCCGGAAGTAGTCTCAATGTTACTTTGACTCCGTCAGAAAGTACCAGTGAGCTATCGGTGCTTAGTATCAGCAAGAAAACTGTAACGAATAGGGTCGTAAAACCGTCCGTCTCTACGGGGGCTATCCCGAAGAGCATCAGCTTCGATATGAGTGCAGATAAGGTAGTTATCTTTATTAATGCTATTATTTATTTTGCATGTATGTTATGTTCTCCGTTAAAAATTGAACCTTTCACAAGATTGTATACAGTGTCTATTCTAGTTTGGTAAGATGCTCTACAATTTGAAAATTCTGTTTGTTCAGGGATTGGAAGAGGAAGGAAGGTCAAAGAGAGGAAGCTTTTTTGGAAAGCTTCGCATGGGATTCAGGAGTAGACGGGGAAAAAGTTTCAGAAATCAGGATGAGTTCAGGTTGGAGAATGATGAATTTTTTGGTTCGAAGAGACAATCAGACATAGGAAAAGTGAGCAACACTACAGGTGAGGTTGCCAATACTATGAATTTGATTTTATAATTCAATAACATTTGTTTGTATTCATTATTTATTATTATTAGGCATGTAGGCATATCAAATATCTTTTGTATTTTCAGAAGCCTCTGACGATATTTTAGCAAAGTACAGAACGAAACCCTTTGTGGAAAATTCGGCTGTTAAAGAAAACAGCGATTCAAAAAAGTGTTCTAAGGAAAAAAGTGTATATAGCAGCAATAGTGAAGAAATTAATAGCTTTAATGATATTAAGAACAAACTACGTTTAGTCTTAAGTAATATATCAGAAATTCCGCACTACGTTAAGGTACCTTTCAATATTCATTTTCAACTGCACATTTACCTCATACTTATATATTGTAGAACAATCCCATTAGCGTTAAGAATAAAATGGAGATGATATTGCGCCTGGAAATGGGAAAAGCCAGAAGACTAAGGGAATGGTCTCATGTAGCGAGAATCTCGGAAGCTATCAGGTGCATCAATCTCATTACAGATGATACATGCCTCAAGTTGATTCATTCCATGAAGGACGATTTGATTCTGCGCTCAACTTACATAAAGTACCTGGTTACTTCAAAGCAAGAACTGCTATTTTGCGATAGTTATTTGAATAGGTGAGAGTAGTAGTAATTGATAGTGCTTGTTTGTAATTATATTTCATTTTAGCCTGCAAGATCAAATATCCCACGATAAGCAGCAGTGTGAAAAGTATTTGGTAACGGTTTGCGTCAAAGAATTTTTGTTGGCGCAGGAGACTGTTTTACTAGAATTCTGCGAGGAATTTAAACAGTTGAACCTGGCTGATGAAAAGTGTGATATTTTACAAAAGTTTTATATGAAACTGTATTGCATCATGAAATCAAGCAGTATTTGGAAAGGTGATTAGAATTCACAGTTGACTTTTTTAGAACTAGAGGTCACACCTTTCAATATTTTTCCAAAATAGTTTTTTTGCCATATTTGAGATCAAATATATAATTTTTTGGGGCTCTTAGAATAAAACACATAATGAATGTGTCAGATAACAGGATTAATTCATTTTGGATTTTATATAAAGCAATGAAAACTCTAATCTGATAATCATCTTCATTATATATTTATTTTTAACAAACTACATACTGTTATAAAAACCAATAAATAAAAATTTCACCAAGGACTTTTTCATTGGTTCTGATGGCAGTTTGACAATATTGACTCTACATTTTTCAGTTTCTTATATAACAAGAAAAAACGAAAATTTTAAAACTGTTGTATGTTCTTTATTTGCAGAAATATGGTAAATATTTCTCGTTTTGCCATAGTGTTGGACTATCAGAATTGATCTTACAAATTTTAAATATGGGCTTCTGTTTTTTGATGATTTTTTAAGCAGTAATGTTCATGAAATATATTTTGGTAATTTGATGATCGTCAAATGAAATAATAATAATAATTGCTGAAATGGAAGCAATTGTTGATTTTTTATTTATCACAGTTGTTTCTAAAAAATTCGCCAAGTTCCTGAAATATGTTGAATCATGAATCTAATATATCTATTGAGATGTTTTCACATTGTACAACTTCCAGAAAATCAAGAAAAACGTAAAATTTTATATCCAGCCCAAATTTTGGCTCTCCTGGTGTTGAAAGTCAATAAGTACTGAAAAATACAAGTTTTTTGTATGTGAAATGAGCTGATAGTGACCTCAAACTGAAAATCAATTTATCTTTCCTAATTCAAAACCTTCATGGAGTTCCTAAAAGAAGTTGCATGTTCCAGAAACCAATAATGATAAATTCTAAATTTCAAAGGTAATAGAGAAATAAATTTAAATATATTTTGCTAGTATCTTTTATTCTGTTGAATTTCCTGAATTACATTCAAAATTTCTGAAAAACTTTGGATAAGCTTCAAATTAAGAAAGATAAATTTATTTACAGACGGAATTAACATCAGTTTATTTTTCTTATTGTATTTTTTTCATATTTCTCAATGGTTGAAACCAGAACCATGAAACAAAGCATTCAAAAAAGGGTCATTCTGGTGAAATAGAAGTTTTTAATCTATGAAACCATTTGAAATGGTTTTATGCAAGTCCGCTGCATATGATCGTAAGAAGATGTAATTTTACGAGATTTTATTATTAGTAGAGTTCCAAAAATAGTCGATTTTTCAACATTTTTGACTTTCGAGAGGGGGAATTCAAATATTCATGTTTGATCAAAAGTTTTTCAAAAGCTAGCGGAAGCCGAAAAAACGAAAGTTTTCATTTGAAAAATTCAAAATGGGATTTAAAGGGAAAGAGTTGTATTTTCAGAAAGGCATAGAAAGCTCCAAATTTGATAACCCATGGTTTTCACCATTTTTCTATTGCCATATTATCCCAGATGATAAAGTCAGTCTAAAAGCTAAGCCGTAACCTTGGATATATAAAAAAATTGAGTTAGGGTATCTCAAAATTTTTATGTGATGAAGTATCTTCCGGTTTCTGTTTTTTCCAAAATGTTTTACTCTTGCATTGTTTTAATGTTTACCTACTTTGCAGATTTTGTCCGGAATAGGGAGACCCTGTTGAAAATAACTTTGGAAAGGTATATCATGACTAAGATATACAAAAACTCCATTTATCCTAATGGAGATGGGGACAGGGACAGGGACCGGTATGATGATAAATCATTCTACTTGATAAATTATTCATTTCTTCTGTTCTAGAGTATTACAAAATCATATTGAAAAACTGTCCAAAATCATCACCCCAAACCACAAAGATCTCCTGATAGAAAAAGTGTATCTCAGAGAGAGTCCCTGGCTTCCTGCTCAAGATGCTCTTCGAACTTTGAATATTTACAAGACCCCAAGGGATAAAGTTAAATGTATCGTCAACTGTGCCAAGTGTATCATGGATCTCCTGGCCCTTTCCCAGAGTAATGGTTCTGCTACTGCTGACGATTTCATGCCTGTTTTAGTTTATGTGATAATCAAGGTAAAAATTATTCTTTCCTCAATACATTTTCTCAGGCTCTCGCCAGACAAAAAATATAATCTATGATAGTATGGAGTTTGTTGTATTGTTTTAAAATATTTTGATTGAAGTATTTCTTAAACTTTCTACTATGAAGATTATATTCCACTATGATTGGACTAAACTTAATTTAGAATATTACCCATTTGAGAAAATATTTCAGGTAAGTTGAAGTTATCGAATGACAATTTTTTTGTAGCCGACTGAAATCTTCAACATTTCTGTACAAATCAATTTAAGGCAGAGTGCAACAGACTGCTGGTTGGCAGTGGAAGTCGCAACATTTTAGAAATGACCCCTGACTTTATGCCTCCAACTGTCAACTACGAACTGCCTTATAAAGTACAGTTCCTGAGTAGAGAGAACTCCGGGAGAAGGAAATATTAAGAGCAGATAGTTGTTGGTTCACAGATGGATCAAAAACACCTTCAGGTTCTGGTGCAGGTGTTTTCAGTTGCAGACCCAGGACAGATATATCAACCTGCCTAGGAACCCATGCGATTGTATTTCAAGCGGAAATTTACGCTATTGAATTGTGTGCGGAAATATTGGAAGAATCCAACCTCATACACAAGTCATTAAAAATATTCTCCGACAGTCAAGCGGCGTTGGAAGCTCTTGGTTCCTACTAAGCAACGTCTAAATTGGTAGCAAGTTGCCAAAAACGACTCTCCTCGATAAGAAGACTTAATAGATTGTCTCTGGTCTGGATTCCTGGCCATACTGGCCTGGAAGGCAATGAAGCTGCTGACTCCTTTGCAAAGGAGAGTGCTGCAAGCAGCTTCCTCGGACCAAAACCTGTTATTGACATCGCTTTAGGCTTTGCCAAACAAACATTGAACACCTAGATGGCAAAAGACTTATGGACTTCTGGCAGATTCTTCCAAGATTGGCTCACTCCAAGGCGTTTATTCGCCCTTCGAAGCTTGATACCAAACAGTTGTTGAACTACATTAAGGATGAACTACGATGTCTAACAGTCCTTCTCACAGGTCACTGTCATTTGAATCATTATATGCAGAGACTCGGAAGACAGTGTGTGTCGCCTCTGTTTGGAAAATGATGATACAGCAGAGCACATACTTTAATTCTGCCCTGCTGGGGACCGAATCAGTTTTTCAGAGTTTGACCTAAAAGACCACTCACCATACAAACTAATTGGATTCGTTAAGAGGCTGGGTTTATTTGGTCGAGTGTGAATAGGTGTGAGCCACAATGAACCCTTGCTTGTTGCGGTAGAGGGTCTAATAGACCCACTCACTTTTGACCTAACCTAATACTAGACAGTCCCATTTAATCTGCCATAGATACATAAAGTTAATATAATGATAATAAACACAATTGCACAAAAATACATGAAAAGATGTACAAGCCAGTGAACAAAAAAAAAAACAAGTATGCCAAATACCAAACCTGAACTCAATCATTAATTATAAAATATAAATTTTAGATAATCATTAATAGTATATGGCTTGAAGTCTGAGTTTTACGAAAGATTAAATTTGCTGTATGAAGACATGAATGAAAAAAAAAACAATTGAAAAAAAATGTGATCCGACTCGAATCTCGGTCGTCATATTTTTTCAATTTAGTTTTTCTTTCATTTATGTCTGCATACCGCAAATTTAATATTTGGTATTATATTACAAACGCTAATTTCTCTTGTGCTGCAAAGTGCTACATTGATGGTGAAAAGATACATTATAACTAGATACATGGCTTGTACCACATGAGTGTGTTGCTTCGAAAGCCACAAAATATTGCTTGTTTTTGAATAAAAATTTCATCTAAAAAGTTTAAATTACTCATGATACAAATAGCCTGAAACCGGTCTGCAAGTGTGCCCGTTCCTATGTAATCCAACGCCCTTCTTGGAATTAGCTAGGGAAGTAATTGTTTTCTGATAGGTGTCAGTTATAAGGCATTCAGAGCACAGAAAAAAAAATTAAGAGCTATATTCAATGTTCATCCACTGTCAACATGTGAAGACCTATTTAAAAAATCGCAAATAAAAACTTTTCCCAGTTTATATGTATTTCAAATAATAACATATATTAAAGAAAATGAAAACAGGTTCAAGAAAAATGAGGACTTGCACTCTCATTCCACACCAGAGTTACTGACAATTACAAATCTGCCAGAATTTGCCTGACTATATAGGAGTTAAATTGTATAATAAATTTAAATGTATCTGTGAGCTTAAACGAGATACCTGTAATTTGTTTAATATATCTAACATGTCATTTAGCATTAAACTCAAACGTTTTCTGACATAACAAATATTTTATTGTATAGACCTTATATATGCCTTTTGTCATTTAGCTTCAGTATCATTTACTTTCAGAAAGATATCTATAACTATTTTTACTTAAGATATTTCCTCAAAAACGAGTAAAAATTTCTCAGAATTGTATTTTTGGTATAAAAGAATAAAGGGTACTCCAGGACCATGTGAATGGATTTTAATTTCACTTAATATTTCGCAGGTTAATCCAGAAGCTCTGTTGTCAACTGTTCAGTACGTGAATAGCTTCTTCCACCATCAGCTGTTTGGAGAAGATGAATACTGGTGGACTCAGTTCTGCGCAGCTGTTGAATATATTAAAACGATGGACTATTCTGATTGATATTAGTTGTAAAATAATCTCTACACCATTTTACTTGTACCTATTAGCAAAAAATATTATTTATGATTTATATTAATCTGTTAGGTTATAGAGCAATTATATTTTTAATAAAAGTGTTTATATTTTAGAGATTGGCTTATTCCTTTCATAAAGGAGTACATACATTGGGTATTGCAGCTCAAAACCAAGCATTACTCTAGAGCTATCTACGTATTGTATTTTTATATTTATAAATATAAAATGTATATTTTGTAAGAAATTCATGGAGACAGATTACTACATAAACTGTGTCAAAGCTATTTTTTGGATTTGCTGGCCAATGTCTACAGGCTTTTATGCTTATAGTTCCGTCCAACTGCAGTAAACTTTATCAAAGACATTGAGGCAGTAGATGCAGTGTTGTATATTATTATTCTAACAGCATATACTACATTGTTCATGTCTCTAGTTTCAGTGGTGGGGGTGATTTCTTTCTTATTATTGGGGTTAATTAGCCTCTTCTTTTTGTTTGAAATTGTCTCTGTTCTAGAATTTTAATCGCCTTCCTATATGTAATCATGTGAGTGCCTGCTCTTAGTGCAGGTAATATGTCTGTATGCTCAGAGGTGACAATTTTTGTTAGAGTTGGGTACTTCATTTCTCTCTGTGGTTACAGTGTAGACTGATCAATGGCAACAAGGGGTTGGATATACTCTCGGTGTTGCTAAAGGCCCTCTGGGGACTTATCTAGATTCTCTCTGATAGTTTTTGTTGGCTGAATGTCAATTTCATATTATTTCTCCAGAATTTTGCCAATATGATCATTTTTGACGGTACTATCTGGTTTCATCTATTTATCGAATCATATTTTCATTATTTATTTCAATAATTTCTTGTGATATGGAAAGATGCATAATATTATCAACATAAATTTGAATTGAACCAGTCAGATCTATATTGAATATTGTGTCGATAAATAGCAAAAAGAGTAGGACCTAAAATTGGGAATTGTTGGACTCCATGAGTGAATTTTACACCATATTTCATTATAACAAGTACTAACTTTTTAAGAATTTTGTTTTCGACAGTGTCACAAACTTTGCATAATTGGGGTGACTTTTTAGAACATTGCCAATATTTAATTATATGTCAGACAGTAGATCCATAACAGTTGATGCTTCCATAGTTATTGCAATCGCCTTTTTTCTCCTGATTTGAATGTAGGTACCATCTTATCAGTTTCAATGTCAATATCACCAATGCCTCTTGCTTTATATGACTCCAGTTAATTTATTAGGAAGATTCCTCAGCCGCAGCGAGTTCAAATTTGAATCTCTCCGAAGCTAATGCAGACATTTTTGTCTCTCAAACTTCTCATTTCAATTCGACAGTTTACAGTTACAGGTAGTTTATGCTTGTTAGGTTTCAATTCATCAGGCAGTTTTTTTCTATTTTATTCATAATTGAAACTCATAGAAAAAAAAAAGTATTGTCACATATATAAATTATGTCATGGTCTATCTGAACCATGCGAAATAATTGAAATTTGAGAGACAGTAATTTTTCATATAATTCCAAGGTTGGCCACTCCTCTATTGCCTTTTTTTTAATTGAGTTGTTTGATATAGGCTGATTACTTTCCTAAACTTTTTTTGTCTGTAATTGCATTTTCAAACTTCTTTTAAGCATCTACTTGGAATCATTATAAATTCATATAAACTGAGTATAGGAATCGAATCACTGCACAAAAAAATTATGAGAATTACATAAATCATGATGAGAGCATTTTCTTCAGAACTTTTCAAAATGTTGATACATAATGCTCATGATTCTATCATCTAAAAGAACAATTCGTTCAGGCCAGTCTCAACACCCTACACAGTAGGTTAATGGACTGACACCTATCAGAAAACAACTACTCCCCTGGCTAATACCACGAAGGGCGTTGGATTATATCCGACAGGTGTCAGTGCAGGATTCTTCACTGAAGTTATTCCTGCATATGCTGTTGGCGAGTGGGCATACTTGAAGACTGGCTATAAATCAAATCATCTAAAAGAACAATTCGTTCAGGCCAGTCCATTAACCTACTGTGTAGGGTGTTGAGACTGGCCTGAAGGAATTGTTCTTTTAGATGATTTGATTTACAGCCAGTCTTCAAGTATGCCCACTGACTATACGTGAAAGCTCATGATTCTGATCATTCCATGTACAAGAATATAAAAAAAGTTTTTGTTTCACCTTCATGCATCCTCGTTCATGGGAAGTACTGAAAATAAGCGGGGGAAAAATCAATATTTATTTATTTAATTGAAGATGAATTTCCAAAAAATTAAGTCATTAATATCACAAATTATATTTATTGATTATTTAAAATATGTACAATCACTTGCAAACATATGCTGCATGCCTCTGTATGTTATCTTACAAACTTACAAATATAATCAAAATTTTAAAAAAATCACAGAAACAATACACATATGATTCAAAAATCACTTTTCCACAATTTTATCATCTTATCATTTTCCAAAGCAGCAGATGCAATAATGTTTTCTGTTGGATGACACGAAGTACATACAACAACATCTGAAAATAAAAAAAATAAAATTTATATCAAATATTTTGAACACTGATAGTTTTACTTTTGAAAGGAGGATTTTGCTGATGTTCAAGGGGATGTAAAAGAGTTACCTTCGATTTCCTACCTATTTTTCCTTAAGAAATATTAAAAAAATACTTCAAATATTACATTTGAAATATATGAGTACATATCAACATATATGAATCGGAATTAATTTAAAAGATTGCAGATACATTGCGTAGAAAGATATGACTTGAGTGTTGTAGACTTGAATGTTGAAGGTTTGGACCTCCATTGTCTAAAAAGATATTGAACTATATGAAATCTATGGAAGAAAAATGAAGTTAAAATGAATGGAATATTAAAATTATAAAAAAAATAGGAACCAGATTTTCGGATGAGTTGTTGAAACAAAGATAATGTCAAAAATGGGGAAACATTTCAAACAATTGAATAAAAAAAGAAGAACAGTAAAACAATAACTGAAATCTCAATTAAATGCAAACAAAAATAAAATTAATATATGAATGAAAATAATGAAGATAAATGATGGAAAATTGAAAATTAGAAAATATATTTCAAACCAAGCTACTTCACGTTTTTGGGATATTAACAATTGAAAAGTTGTTCAAGTATCAATTCTTCAAGTATTTCAACATTTTTTTTTCGTAGGTTTCAAATCTGTAAATACTTTTTTAGACAATGGAAGTTCGACCCTGTAATAAATGTGGTAGACTTGTTCTCTACTTTATTCATTTTCATACTGTTTTTCCATACCCTACAAGGCTAGCATACGTAAAATAGCTGACAAAAAACAACATTCAAAGAAGTTTTCCAAGATGCTTACCAGTGTGTCCTTGCAGCTTCTGAACGATTTCTTTTGTTTGCAAATTCCAAATGTACACCATGTTGTCTTCAGAACCACTAACTATCCATTTGCCTTTAGTTATTGAGAAATTTGCAAAAATACAATACTTTTCATTCTTATGGCCGACATAGGTTTTCAGACATCTATCTATAGCATAGTCGAATAATTTTAATGTGTTATCCTGGTAGGCAACTAATAAATACTTTCCGTTCGGAGAAAATTTAGCGAAGGCTACTGCGGAATTGTCTTCATTTCCCAGAGATTTCAGACACTCGCCTGACTTTGTGTCCCAAATTTTACTGGAAAAAAATCATATATTCATTTGATGCATCCAGCATGTACAAAAGAACAATTATAATGGGTGAGAACATAATCTCAAATTGGTTCAAATGCTTATGATCGAATAGCAATGAAATAATATTTGTGAATAGTTTCTCTCTCAAGTTATTATGTAATATTTGAACTACTGAAAACCCTCAAATTTCTTGAATCATTCATACAAAAGTTTTATGCTGTCAGTTCATGATATAAGTATTATTTATCTTAATATTTCTGAACTATCAATCTTACGAAATCACATAATTTAAAAAGAAATGTTAGTCGGGTATCATCCTGTGAAAAAAATTGAAATTGGGTTAACCTATTTATTGAAATGGGAATATATATTGAACAATTATTTTTAATCATGATTAATTAATGATTACATGACTGATTGAGTGATAATCTTTTTGAATTGCTCAAACAGCAAATAAATATTAAAAGAAATGGCAATGCTATAAACCATAAGCAAGTATTGTTTTTATACTATTTACTTATTGGATATTTGATATTGAAACTGTCATCAGACTGTGTATAAACTGTATGGTAAGTAAATCGAACTAACAAAGTAGCTCGTTTCTTTTCTATTTCACATACTCTCATCGATTATTCCATTTTTTACTGTTCTGGAGGATGGTCAATACTTGTGATTTCAAATCTTTGCCTTTTTAAAAAAGGACAACTCTGGAAATGTATTTTGGGAAAAATATTTCAAAGAAAAAATTGTACATTGAAAAGGGTATATTTTTTTAGGAAAGAAAAGTTTTTGGCTTTCTACCTCTCTGTCTTAATACAAAAAATGAGGGAAATGTCCGCAGGAAGGAATAAAGCAATTAAGTTTAAAATAAACTTTTTGTGTAGATCATGCATATAAGTTGTTTTCAGATAAAAATACCTCTTGAAACAACTACTTTTACACAAACATTGGATTAAATTGAAGAAAAAGTACTTTCGAAACAACTTTTTTCATATGAACACTGAATTATGTGAAAACCACTTTTTGCTATTCAGGATTTGCTTTCTCCTTCCTTCGGAAGTTTTTCATATTTTTGAATAATGATAAAGAAGTAGAAAGTGACAAAACATTTCTTATTGTTCTGGAGGTTATGTCATTTTTCTTAGAAATTAGTGTCATAGCCCATTGTGGAAATGATAAAGAGAATAGAGAATATGCACAAATGAATGATTAATTTAATTGAAATATTAGAATAAAGAATTTCTTGTAATCATTTTCCAGAACAGATATATATTTCAAATAGTATGAGTGGAGAACAACACCTCATTATTTCAATTTATTCCTGACTTGCATGTAAGTAAAAATAATGAGATGACACTTGAAATATTAGTAACTGATATTGAAGTTGCATTTGGTTAGGTGGATGCTCAGAATGTGCCCTATATAACCTTATATTTTGAATCTCCTAGATATCTGTTACATTCATTGGAGTAATTGAAACGTGTACAATGCCATAATTTTAAAAATTTTGGAGCAAATGGTTTCATGTCTAATAATTTAAGGTAAAGTTCCAAGGCTGTAAGTCAAGGTTTGATTTTATCAAGATGGACACTCAAGTCACTTGCTGGTCAAAATCACGAAAATTTTGGATTTGCACACATTTTACTGGACCAAACTTGGTGTCCTCTGGATATAACCCTTGAGAATTTTGATACTCTTGGGATCAATTTGTTATAAAGAATACTGCATTTGTTTCTGGAATTGCACTTGATGACATGTGATAATACAACAAAACAGGAAAGTTTTCTGTCGAATATAATATGCAACTCGAGTAATAATTGAATATTGATTGAAACGACAAAGCTTGACATTTTTTTCGGTGTGGTGCGAAATAGATGAACTCTATTCAAATATCACATACATAACTTGTAACAAAACTTCATTTACGGTATTAAAAAATTAATTTTGAAAAAAGTTAAATTAGAAAGAAATGCTCTGTACTGTTGTTGCTTTGTCAGATTTGAAAACAAGATGCATTCCTAATAGTTTCCATTCTTAGAAAAATTATTATTTGTCAAAGCAACATTGAAAACGAGCAACGATTCAGTTGATATTTTTTTCAGTATTAGCTGAGATTCAATGCTACTTTATTGGTTTCAGACCAAAACAACACCTAATAAAGTATATCATTCATTACTATACTCTTCAGTAAAACTTACTACGCTCCGTCCAAACTGCTACTAACAATTAGGGATCCATCTCTGTTGAAGTGCACAGCACTGACTTTATCTAAATGAGCCGGTAACGTTCTCAAACATTTGCCAGTTTTTACATCCCATATTCTGACTGTCTTATCAAAAGATCCCGACACAATGAGGTTCGATTCGGGGTTGAAATTGCAACAATAGACATAATGGTTATGTCCTTTTAAAGTTTTTAAGCATTTCCCAGAGGCAAACTCCCAAATTTTCAAAGTTTTATCATCACTACCGGATACTGTAGTAAAAAAGTGTTAGTGCTGGAAGATTCTAAAGTATTGAAAATGAATTACCTAACAACGTGCTGTCGCTGGACCAGGCCACATCACTTATTCCTCTGTCATGACCAGATATGGTTTTTTCGAATTTGCCATTATATGCTCCCCAAATTTTTATCAAATTGTCAGCAGCTGAAATAAAATTTTCTGAATATTTGTTCCTGATGAATGAACACTGTTACTAGTATAGAATATGATGATGGTAAGAAGCATTGTTGCCAGGTTGTGGGTGTATTTACACATCCAAAATGACTTGTTGAAGTTTGAATCATCATTTCAACTTAATTTGAAACACATTTTCGTCCAGTTCAAAATAAATGGTATTTGATATAGTTGAATATTCATTTTCATTACAGAAGCCTCTAATGTGACACGAAAGAATATAATTCACCACTTCATACTTATTCGCTAATACACTTTTTCACTGAAATGTTACTTAATCTTTTTGACTTCTCTTCATATTGGTAGTACACCTTAGAGATTAGCGTTTGTCTTTATCTTACTGCGCTTTCCAAATTTGGTCGAGGGCGTATCCCTCAAGTTTGACGATTCTGATAGTAATAATAATTATTGGCTGGAATCAATCAAACAAACGAATGAATGTCATTACATATTGCCATCGACAACATGTGTAGATTAAAGTCATTCATGACATAACGTCTTAATTTTATGAATAAACTGAGAGTTTTTTCTTATAATGTTATCCAGATTTGGTGATGAAGAGCTGATAAGGCAAGTTTCTTACGGCGGAACCAGTGAGGATGACACTGTTCCATGTAAGTGAAATTTTACCTCTTTCTTTTACTATATTGTGTAGCAATCCTGTGAATGATATCTGATTCAATTCCATAACAAATGTTTGGAATACAAACTGAATAGAGAAAAGTGTTTTTTTGTATAATTCATTGTTCATACAAAAGTATTTGTTTCGAAAGTATTTATCTATCTTGTGATCGAGAACGGTTATAGTTAGGTACATAGTACCCTGTATGAAATCATATTATTTTTCCTTACCTATTCACAAGTGTAACGAAATAGAGGGTATTTCATTAAAAAAACCACTTTGATATGTCACAATTTTCTGAGCCACACTGTAGACTCAAAAATAATTTCCTTCTGCAGCCTTAATTAATATACATAAAATGAAATGAAGAAATTCTCGAAAAAATTAAATGATTTGGTTTACAGGGACCATGTCGTATAGGGTGCTCCACCCCGTATATGTTGGAGTCAAGTGTTTTATGTGGAAAATACTGTCAAGCTCGAGCTTCACCTAATCTCATAATCGAGATGCATAAAAATACCATGGTGTAATCGCTTGGACTCCTAACTAGATCTATGACACTCTTGATTATTCATAAAAATAAAGAGATCAAACATACTTTGGCTTTACATTGACAAAAGCATTCAGCACACACCAATGTTTACACCTGGGAATGATTTTGTTCTATCTATCACCATGTGAACAAACTTATCGCAATCTCATTTCTCGCATAAAGAGCTTTTGACAAAACAAAAGTTAATTAAAACAGACACCAGAGGTTTCTATGCATCTTAGTCATAATTTATATAAATTTACATGGAGATAACTATGTTACTACACTTTTTATGTCGTATTTCATGAAAATTTTTATTGTTGAATATTTCAATGTTTTCATTTGTGTTTTGGAGCTTTCCTGAAAATTTAACTTCACTTACCAGAACTTGCTAACCACTTTCCATTCGGACTAAATTTTACAGATGATACAGCATCTGTGTGACCCGCCAAAGTAAACTTAAGGGTATAGTTAGGTTTCTAAAATAGATAAAATAATAGCAGGCTCTTCAGACAAAATTATTTTACTTACCATGATTTCAAATTACTAGATCCACAAACAGTTGCTTAAAACTAGCAATTCCCTCAAAACCACTTACAATAAATATATTGTCGGTATCATGTGTTGGGATTCACTTTTTATCAGGGTCGTAATGTTTCTGTGGTAAAGTGAATACAAGATAAATACAATAATTATAAGGTAAGAATATGTAACTGTCGACCTAATCATACACTATAGAGGAGAATATAAAACATTTTTGAATTATTATTACCACAACATTCGCCATTTAAAGAGAGGTTAGGTTAGTTAGGTCATAGAACACAGTATATTAAATAATATTCTGTGGTTAGGTAGGAGGAAAATTTGAATTATGTCACTAATCGAAATCAAACATTGTAAAAATATTTATTTCACGTCGCCATGCACTTCTAATAAGTTTCAAACTTCTTATATTTTAGGAAATATGCTTGATGATTAGAGTATATTAATCCCATGCTTTTTCAATACTGAATTTGAAATTATGAGAAATATTATTTCGAATTTTTTTTTTCGTGTACGTATATATCCCTTCTCGAAATAGTCCTCAGACACAGTTTAGCGTATAGATAAAACTCTTGTCGGAACAATTACCCGTCACGAGTGGATTTGTTATCGAAACAAAATTCTGCAATAATTGAATAGAACTGGCCGATACTTGATGAAAATCCATATTTGAAAAACTAATCAATAGAGTTATTCATTCTATGATTTTCACTATAAGGGTTTTACAAAAACCGCGAAACAGCTATTGTATAGCTTCTTCGAGCTATACAATAGCTTGAAGCTATTGTATAGCGAAACACGTGTCGCGGTTTTTGTAAAACCCTTATAGTGAAAATCATAGAATAAAGTCTATTGATTATTTTTTTGGAATTCTGCAGTTGATTTTAGCTATGATGCCCTTGTAACTTGATTCCTGTTCTCTTGGGAATATTGCACAAGAATTTTTTTTAATATAATTCAATATCCGTCATGGAACTCGAAAGGGGAGTAGTTGATCTGATAGGTATTTGCCATAACACCCTACAAGGGGACTAAAAATGGGGGAAACATTGGCCGGCAATAAGTAAGCAATAAGATAGGTTGGTGCCAGTTCATGAATATAATAATAATTATAATTTTGATGGTGTCAATATACCATACCATTAATTAATAAAATACTACTGGAATATAAGTACAAAATGTTACATTTTTATATACTATAAATTGACATAGTTGCAAACTTTATCCTAATGGTAACATTCTTCATTGTTTTCTTTTAAGACTCTCATTTCTTTAAACGTTATTTTCATATCTTTCAAAATACGAATTCAAAGATTTAGATAACCTTATTAAAACTTCTTCTACACACGATAGCCATCTTGAGTTCAGACAGGTTGGAGCGCAGCTCCAGCGCTTAGTGGAACGCACGGCCTTGCGAAATAATAGTAGCCACAAAAAAAGTTCTCTTTATCTTCATTACACAAGCGAAACGTCCTCAGTGTAACAGGCCAAAAGCGGGTAATTTATAAAAAATTGAGTACGACAATATTGCTGATTATTAAGATAATTCACGGCGCATACAAAAACTATTTGCCACGATTCGACCATGCGCGTTGTGATTTATTACCAAAAAATGGGGATAGTAGGACTACTACTGGGTCCTTCAGCATTCTACTACTGTGCTGTGGCGTACAGTGTACTACACTAACTAACCTATACATTTCGCAGAATATTACATATTATGATGTCATTGGTCACTGTGTAAATGGCGGAATTAAGTGTTTACAGTATTTTTGTTACTTAAGTTAATTCCTTTCAATTTCCCAGGATGTTGTTCCATTAAAATATTTCAAAAAAGGGTTGAAAAAACGGAAAATTTCATCAATTTTGATTCATAGAAATCAACTGTATAAGTATAATCAAATAACGGGAATTTAAATGTAAGTCGAAGATATAGGTTAGGAAAAGATACTTCCAAAAAATTCAATTAATCGTCAACCTACTGAAGGACCAGCACAACCATGATGCCAATAGGAAGTGCTCCTCCAATGCATGGTACTGGCAATTTATCTCAGAGCAATAATATACAAAGTGCCAGTTCTCTAACCCCTACAGGTGGATCCAGTAAATCAAGTAGTGTGGTAAAGAGTCATAATATTTGAAGAGATTGTTTACTAATATATCTGTTCTAGAAACCAAACTACACCCTTAAATTTACTTTAGCTGGACATACAAAAGCAGTGTCATCTGTGAAGTTCAGCCCAAATGGAGAATGGTTAGCAAGTTCTGGTAGGTAATATATATTATCCTCTTAGACATATGTTTACTTAATTTTATTTTAGCGGCTGATAAGTTGATAAAAATTTGGGGAGCATATGATGGTAAATTCGAAAAAACAATATCTGGTCATAAACTAGGGATAAGTGATGTAGCATGGTCTAGTGACAGCAGGCTGTTGGGTAATAATTTTAAAGATTTATAAATTGTTACTGTCATCTGGGGTGAGACATGTCTTCCAAGTTCAGTGCAACCACTAAAGTGTTAGTGTTCGGTTTCAGGAAAATACATCTTATAGTCAAAGTCTGAAAACACCAAAAACATTACGAGCTAAAATATACAAATAAAATAGAACACATAAAAATATACATATACAAGAAAATATTAGTTCTTGAGTGTATCAGGAGACGAAAGTATCATCAAAATATTCCTGAACTGAGTAATAGACCCCATCAACCAGAAGCATTTTCACCTCTTTTCTGAATTTATTGTAAACATTGGATTCTTTTATTTATACTGGCAGGCGATTGAACATTGCTGCTATGAAATTGAGTCTCTAACTAATGAGATCGTGGGAATAGGCAGTTCAATATTGCTAATGTGACTGGGTATTAAGGAGGAGGAGGAGTGTGGCTCAGACTAAACAAATGATATTTCTTTATTAAAGAGATTGTATCCAAAATGTATAGGTAGGCTACTGTTGAAAAACCATGAGCTTTGAAAAGATGTTTTCATGCAACCCGAGAAGCAGCTTTGTACATGTAACGACAGCGCTTTTTTGAAGAACAAAAATTTTTGAAATAAGTCTCTGGCTCAGACCTCCCATAAGGCAATTCCGTATCTAATATGTCAATCTATGAGAGCAAAATAGGTTGCTCTTGAATGGGCATAGCCTAATTCTGTAGGGATGACTCTCAGCGCGTAGCAGCCTAAGGCAAGTTTCTTGTTTAAATTCATTGTATGGTCTTTGAACTTCAATTTATCATCTATATTCAGCCCAAGAAATTTATAAGTACTTTTTGAAATTTCATTACCCAGGCAGATCTCAGGTAAGGTGCATTGAATGATTTTTTTGATGTCTTCAGAGATGATCTCATGCAGAACGGCATTATTCTTGTTGTGCCATAAAAAGATGGTGTCGTCAGCAAAGAGGGTGATTGTGGCTGATATATCTATGAGAGCTACTGCCACAGAAAGCCTTTTACCTCCTTTTACCTCCTCCATATTGAAGGCACAATGTCTGCTGCAAACAGGATGTATGGACTCATTGCATGAATTTCAAGAGATTTCTTGGATCCATGTACATCAAAAACCTTCGTTAGATCAAAATTAGAATATCCATACATAATGAGGAATCCACATCATCAGTTGTATACAGAGAAAGTTGAATTGTTACTACGTCGTTTCCTAAAACTTCTCCCCTATAGATCAGACAACATCTATTCACCAATTGGATTTCCCCATGATGTATTATCAGCTAGAATAGCTTCAGTTGCCACAGTTGTCACGCCACAATTTTTTAAAAAACTGATTGATAATTTAGTTATTGGCCCACATATTCTGAAAAAACTCAATTTCAGTGTACCTAGATCAACCTCTAGAGTAGACAATCCTTTTCATCTACCAACACCACGTACAAATATTCTGAAACGTTCACCTCTGCATAACATGTGTGTCAAATGCAATTCAGCAAGTTTTCAGCTCGACATTTTTTACTGTTCCATCGCTCTAACAAAGACTCAGATAGAATAAAATATGAACCAAAATAATCCATCAGGTTTTCAAACGTATATCATTAACACGTGAACACCAATATAATTTTATCTTGATTGCCAAATGGTACTGATGAGAATATGCAAGAAACAAACAAGGAGTGTACCAAAACTTTTATAGAATATTTGAATGAATGCAGATGGGAGACGAAAATAGAAGCAAAGAAAACAAATTGAAACTTTTGCTTGATTTGAATTATCATTTGATATATTTTCTATCCTTACCTGTTCACTGTCTCCTTCCTATCTTCCCATTTTGTACTAAACTATGCGTAATATATGTATTTTTATTCAAAATATGTCCGAACTAGTATTTTCTGTAAGATTTGAGCGTATTTCTATGTCTGAACTTGTAAAACACATAATGCCGAGTTTGGACATTCTTTGGCTAAAAAACTAACCAACTATAATTTTTTTTCAGAAAGTTTCGGTTAATGTAAAGTAGGAGTAATTTATGTATATATTTTGGGGGGAATTTGTTACAATTCAAAACCTTCAAAAAGTGTCCTAAATCACCCCAGATCACGGTACCTGGTCTCGCATGAAATTCAATTTTTTTTCTTATCTTATATTTGTCAACTGGCATTAAATTATAAATGACGTATTTCCCTCAAAGCATGAAAACGATGAAATAGTTGAAGCCTAAGCAGCTTACACAGAGTTTTATAGAGAATAAATGCATTAGACTTCTTCAACCTGATTGAAATGAACTTGAATTGATGTTTGAATTGAAAAATGAATTTTAAGAAGAGATTAGTTAAAAAAAAAACATTTTGGCTTTCTACTTCTCCAAATAAAAGTGCGGGTCATTTCTGAAGAGAGGAAGAAAGAAATTAATTTCAAAATAAGCTCTTTGCAAAAATATGTAGATCATGCACCTTGTTTATGACAAGTACAGTCAGTACAATATATTTTTAAGATTATTCGCTTTCTTTCTCTGGAAATGATTTCAAAATTATCCTTCGATCCAAGTGTTTACAGTCTCGTAATTTTGCAAAAGCTTTAGTATATAATAGTTTAAGATATTATTTTTGAGACCCTGTGTGATCCCTGATAATGGAAAATGACCATTTTTTAAATATTTCTCTTCTATTTTTATAGTCTCTGGAAGTGATGACAAAACTCTCAAGATTTGGGAACTTTCATCAGGAAAATGCCTAAAAACTCTGAAAGGGCATAGTAACTACGTATTTTGTTGCAATTTCAATCCCCAATCAAACCTTATCGTATCAGGATCTTTTGATGAGTCAGTCAGAATATGGGATGTTAGAACAGGCAAATGTTTAAAGACCCTACCTGCCCATTCAGACCCCGTCAGCGCTGTCCACTTTAACAGAGATGGATCTCTTATTGTGAGCAGCAGCTATGATGGTCTATGGTAAGTGATATATGCAGTGTGATCCAGAATGGATGTTTTAAGGAATGCCATGGACTAAAAATTATTGAATTTCATTTTAAGATTGAATTTCTTCTTGATGAGAAATGAATTTTAAGAACATTTTCAGTTTTTGAAAAACAAGTTGTCCTTGACAGTGAAGGGAAAGCCATTTTCTTTCTATGAAACGACTCTTTCACGTGTCGAAATGTTCCTGGCTCTTGCAAAATTTTGGAACTTAGCCACTCAGTTTAGTTTGGTGATCCACAAATTTTTCTGAAGTAAGGTTGGTTCGGTAACAGGATCAATTTTTTCTTAAAAAACAATTGTTTTCTTGCTGACGTTTCGAATTTAATTGAATTTTTCTTCAGGGGTCGAAAAGAAGTTTCTTCGTGTTAATTTGACTATTTTAAAAACCATTATACATATTAGATACATTAAAAAAAAAAAACATTGCAACAGCCAAATTTTCGAGAAAACACCAACCATAAACGACATGAAACAAATGTATCTAATATGTCTAATGGTTTTTGAAATAGTAATATTAACACGAAGAAACTAATTTTTGAGGCCTGAAGAAAAATTTAATTGAATTAGAAACGTCGGCAAAAAACGATTGTTTTCTTTTAAGAAAAAAATTATCCTGTTACCCAATCAACCTTTCCCCAGAAAAATGATTTTTATTTACTCACAAATAAAATCAACAGAACTATAGCGGTAGACATCATTAGTGGTATGTGAGTTGATTGCGAGGATAAAGGTTATATCTCAAAGTATTAGCAACGACTGACTAAGATATAACCTTCGTCTTTACAGTTAACACGTATTTCATTGATGTCTGCCACAGTAGCAGATGCAGTGTGGTACTTGGACCACAGTCTACTAGCCTGGATTCTGTTCTCTTTACTGACTATTATTGTTCACAAAACATCGGAACTCATATCGAACAATTTTTGAATCAATGTTTTTATTAAATTTCTACTTCAAGAAAATCTTGATTGAATTTTGCTCTCAAGGTAAAGTTTCACAAAAGGGAATGTTCCTTAACTTGGGTTATTACAGCAAATGCAAGTTTGAACAAAATAAAGTTGAGTTTAATTCATGAGTTTTTCAAATTCACTTCGAAAAGTATTCAAATTGATGTTTCAAATGTTGGGTTTTAATTTTCAAAGGGATATGTTTCTAATTCACATATTGGCAACAGCGCCTATATCAAGTTGAAATAATTTATTCGTACCTAGATATTCTACTTTAAAAAAAGAAAATTATCTTTATAAATCAACAATTAGGGCAAAATATAAATTATAGTTCAATACCACCTCCACAAGCCACATAAGCAACAGTTGTTTTGTTATTTATTTATATAGAGGAAGATAGGTTAGGTGCACAAAATGTCATATATGACAGAATGTCTCGGAACTCGGAACATAAGTAAACAGAACAGCACGCCTCTGAAATATGTCATCTTTGTTTGTCTCATACAGGTAACAGATTCATTGTCCTTTATTAGCTATAACCGATGTTGCCAAATGGTGAAATAGAAACGAATCTCTTTAAATGTTGAATGCATTATTTCATTCCTCTTTTTTTTAAGTATTTAAATAATTTTTTAAAGAAAAAGGTTGAAATGATAAGTTCAAAATGCATTGTTTTAGAGCTCTTTTATAAAAACTACTTGATTTTCGTCAGGAGGAACATTCCCCATAATAGATTTTTTGTATGTATCACAAGTGAGAGTCTGCTTTTTTGTTGGGGAAGGAGAGGCCCAGGAATTTGTAGGGGATGGGTTCTTTCAATGTCATTTCAATTCCCCCTTTCTATCCTGAAGACGGTTTTGAGTATATGTTGTTTGTGATATATAGCCTATAGCAAGTTTTTAAATTATCATTGTATTTTGAGCATGCTAAAACAAATTATGACTTTTGATGTGTATACGAGTATCAACTTGTATGTGAGAATTAGTAAAATTCTATTAATAATGTTGTGTCAAAGTATATTTAAATGTAATTTCGATTCTTGAATTGTATGAAGACCTTTGCATAGTAACAACACCAATGAATAATTGATTAATTCATTAAAAAATAAGATTTTTCAAAGAAAATTGTTTGGTCATTAGAGCAAAGTTTTTGATGATACATTTTTTTTCAGTCGAATTTGGGATACAGCTTCGGGTCAGTGTCTGAAAACTCTAATAGATGATGATAATCCTCCGGTATCTTTCGTTAAGTTCTCTCCCAACGGAAAATACATTCTAGCCGCCACATTGGATAACACATTGAAATTGTGGGACTATGCCAAAGGCAAATGTCTGAAGACCTACTCCGGACACAAAAATGAGAAATATTGCATTTTCGCAAATTTTTCAGTTACTGGTGGCAAGTGGATAGTCAGCGGCTCAGAAGACAACATGGTATACATATGGAATTTGCAAACAAAAGAAATTGTTCAAAAACTCCAAGGACACACAGGTGAGAACATTTGTTTCACAGGTATAAGGTTTTCTACTTGTGATCACACTGAGTATCAATTACTGTTTGATAATTTGAAGAAATTAATATTTATTTTGTTCCCTTTTTTAATGTTTTTTGTTACGCCAATGTTTATTTATATGATTGAAAAACGTTACATAATTGTCAAACAATTAATTTCGAATTGTACAACATTTACGAAATAAAAAACAGTTTTAGAAGCTATAAGCAGCCCAGTTTCTTAGTAGAACAACGCAAGCGGTTCCGACTTTAGTTTCAGTAACATAATTTGGTAGCAGGGCGTTGCCGCAATAAAAAACAACACCAAATCGTTATTTTAACAACTCGACACGTGTTTCGATCACCAAGTGATCATCTTCAAGACAAACATTAAACAAAATATACGTACAATGTTATCCTTAGATACCATAGATACCTCTTCTAGGTACCTGCGTCTCAAATGTCTTGAATTTAAGACACGCCTTTGAGTGTTTACCTAGAAGAGTTATCTATGGTATAAATAAGGATAAGATTGTATGTATATTTAGTTTAATTTTCCTCTTGAAGATAATCACTTGGTGATCGAAACACGTTTCGTGGTGATAAATAACAGTTTGGTGTAATGATAAAACTCCAGTAATATTCATTATTACACCAAAGGTTTCAAACAGTACATCACGAGTACTCTTCACAATCTTTAAAAATTTTGTAATCTTGAATTTACTACTCTTTAAATTATTACTTTAATTTTCACTTCTTTATTTTATCACTATTTGACTTTTTTCTATTCAATTTGTATAATCTGATTTCAATTTATTTTGACCTGAATTTGTGTTTTGTATTTTCCAAAATATTATTTCTATTAATTTCATTCTACTTGTTCAGTACTATAATGAGTGTTGAATGAAGTTTATTAGATATCTGTGTTATGTTTTTTTACTTGTCAAAAATACAATTTGAAATTCTTTACATAACTAATAAAACAAATGAAGATCTGTTTATTGTCAAGTTCTCAGCTTTCTTCCCTGTTTAACATCATTCTCTCTCTCTCTCTATGATAATGACTTTTGCTTCCATTGAGGCGCATTAATCCATTGTTTAACGTCATTCATTATTTTATTACATGCCATATGAATAAAAAGGTGTTTAATGATATAGTGACTTGCTTGAAAGTAATACTCTTTGAATGACAAAATATAATAAATATAACTGTGATATTTTTCCAGACAATTTTTAATTGAACCTATTTTTCAGATGTTGTCTTGTGTACTTCATGCCATCCAACAGAAAACATTGTGGCTTCTGCTGCTTTGGAAAATGACAAGACAATCAAACTATGGAAAAGCGATAATTAAATTCATTACAGTTCTTATTTTTCATATTGTTTATGTTAATATAAATTCGATTATTTTTGTAGATTTATAAAACAGTTTGCAAACGAAGCTGCATCCCGGTGTGGACATTTTTATTTATAATAAAAAAGTATTACTTCCTAATAAATAAAGCTCAGTTTCTTGTTTCTTTAGTATTAGTATTGAGAAAGTGGACACTTTTTTGGGTACCAATATTTAAAAAGTGTAACATGATTAGTGGGGAACCTTTGTTAGAGATAATGTACAATGAATGAAACAAAATCAGTCATTGATATATAATAAACTGCTCTGGTCGAACTCAGCTGAAAATGAGTCAAATTCCAAATAGCTCCATCACAGGAAAATACTATCTATTATATAGGTTTCTTGGGATTTTGATTCTTGTTGAATAATTTTTTTTCCTTTTAATAAAGACGTTTTGTATTAGGAGGAAGATTAAAGTTTATTCTTTCTCTTGAAGATGATCACTTGGTGATCGAAACACGTGTCGAGGTGTTGAAATAACGGTTTGGAGTTGGGATTGTAACAAAATAGACTCTAGGGGACTCAGGGGAAACAAATAGGTTCGGCTGGGACGTAGTCAGCAACAAAAACCAACGGAGCAAACGTTTTCACAATTTATTTTAGAGTGTGTAGGTACATCAACAAGAGACAGCCCTGAAAAGAGATATAAATTTAGCATACCTAGCAGTACCCAGCCACCAATCAAGCAGCCAAACTAATAATAATTGTCTATTACATACCTGCAGGTAACGAGTAGAAAATATCTACGTTCTTCATCTCCAGAAAGCACGGGTGTCACATTGAGTTTACCGACAACTTCAAATGCGAGAAATGTCTCCCAAATACCCACGAATACTACTCTCTCGCAACTGTGCTATGCACGACTACCTCGATAAGGTCAGCAGTGCGATGCCTCAACCAAAGCTAGCCGTTGTATCCCGTTTCAAGCACCAGCTTAGAGAATATGTCTACAATAACAAAGACGAAAATCACACCACCTGTGGATTTTGTGAGAGGACCGAAAAGATCGACCGAAATAAGGTCATTTGGCTTTTCCGAAAATATCGCCTCTAAAGCGGATCTGGGCAATACATGGCTTTTTGGCATACTTCGAAGCCTTTTATAATACGTTTAACGTGAGCATGCTGTAACCTCCAAGAAAATTCGGGAAATGGCGAGACTGAAAATAGTATTACAGAAATCTACAACCATTGATAATCTCATCGACGTTCTAAAACCTGAACTGTATGAACGCATTGTGGCTGCATCGAAAATTATAAATGGTTTTGATAATGAAACCAAATCATTCAAATCGTCCTCATTAGCATTACACCTGGCAACAAATCTAAAATTTTTGTGTGAAGTGGCCAAAAAAGCCTTGATAACAAAATCTCCACTCGATACATGTTAAAGAAACACTGGTACAACGATATTTCAATTTTCAAATTACGAACCATTAGAATTACGAGTAATGCACAATACTGAGACAACTGCTAAGCCATATTTTTGAAATTAGGATTAAAAACTTCCATAAGTTATTAAAAAATATTATTTTGACTGTGTCAATTAATATGTTTTTAATTTTGTCTCAAAATAAAGAGGGGTTTATCGAAAATGTACTGCAGCAGAACTTCCTATTCACAAAAATAAGCACATACGGTTTTTGTAAAGGGAATACATTTTTACCTAAAAACCATTGCAACTCTTTCAGCTCTATAAGGGGGTATCATCCTCTGAATTACATTAAATGGAAGTGTTGAGCGAATGATACCTCACTAGAAAAAAAATCAGCAGGTAATATGTGGGGGAGAGGAGGGCAAGATGGAAACTGTAATGATCTGAGTTGAATAAAAATGATCCATATACATTTGAACATTTCTAAAATATTAAAGATTTTATTTGTCAACGCTACCTATTCTTCTTCCCAACTTGCCCTCTTCATGCAGGCATAACGGAAAGCACATGCGGGCAAAATGGAAATAAGTAGTAAAATATTATAAAAAACTTATTTCTTGAAATTACGACAGACATCTTACATCTTGCTTACAAAATTGCCATATAAAGATGCCTGTATCGAATGCAGTGCAGAGTTTGTACCCAATTTTGCCATTGATGAATCCATACTTGAGTTAATAAATGGTTCTTGACATATGAAGTATGGAACCTCATTTTCCACGTTTGTATTTTCTTAGGAATCATTCTTTTTGTCTCTTGGCTATTTTTGGTTTTTCTCTTCTATATCAAGAAGAGGTGAATTACCAACAGGTAAAAAATAGGTACTGTACATTTCTTCGTCACCTGAAACATCAACCAACTGATTTCTAAGTTTTCCTAAGATTATCCTTGAAGTAATAATCGATTCATTTGTTGCTCCGGAAACTGGAGATTGGTTTTTCAAAGTGGGACTATTATCTGTTTCTTTTTGACTAAACTCCACAAAATATCCACAAAACTAATTTGTTAACCTTCAGACCCCCTGCAAAAAATTCTAAGGTTTTTTTTCATATTGATAATGGCTTGAAATTTAATGAACATGTTGAACAACTATCTAAATAATTATCTTCTGAATGCTATGCCATAGATAAAGAAGTAGGTTTTGCAGCTGCAAAATGTGTATGCATGTGTACCTATGTATCTCATAAAATTCTTAATATTGTCAATAGATATGATCAAAAATTAGAATTTTCAAAATCAAAATAGGAAAAAATAATACCCTATCTTTTCTTGATACAAGAGATCCATAGAATTTATACTGATTGGCATAAAAACCTACCAATATCAAAGTTTTACCTACAGAAAAAATATTTTCAAATGCTTTTTTCTTGAAATGGTCGAAATCAATATGTCTTCTGATTGTATCAATAAAAAAACTGACATTATCTCAGCAACATATATAGTAGGTTACTGGAACTACCCCAAAAACATAATAATCGTGAAAATCATATAATAATAATAATAATTGATTTTATTGATAGGAACAAATTACAAAGAAGAAAATATATATATAAATAAAAATATAACCTCCTATCAAATGGCAGGATTCAATTTCTGACCATGCTACGGAGAAATCGCAACAAGAGCAGACCTAGCTCTTCCATCCAACCAAAAAATGTGTGAGCACGACCTATGTAAACATATAAACACAAGTGCACACAAGCAAACATATCACCAAACAAACACGATTAAAAATATAGTACATAAAACGGTATGCAAGATACATTGAACAAACATGTATAATACTATAATTAAAAAGAAAAGAAGTCGGTGCAAGAAAAAGAAAAAAAAACGAAAATAGATACTAGCACTTGAAATTCAGCATGCTAGGAATTTCATTCACAAGCAAAAAATGTTTAATTTTCTTCTTGAATATAATACAATTTGAATTCTTTAGTTTGTTAGGTAATTTGTTAAAAAGCCAGGTTATGTAATAAGAAAACGATCCACGATAATGGGAAGTTTTGTGGTGAGGGGGCGTGAGCAAGTTCATGAATCTCAAATTAGGATTATGAACGTCGGTCTGAAACCTGAGTTTGTCGTAGAGATAAGCAGGCTTCATATGATTTATTATTTTGTGAAATAATGTACATGCATGTAAAATACGCCGATTTTCCATATTCAACCAACCCAGTTTTGGTAAGTGATGTGTCACATGATCTCGTCTCCGCGAACCGGTGATCAATCTGACGCATGAGTTCTGTAATACTTGCAGTCTTCTCTTATCGGTTTGTAACAGATAAGGACCGTACACCACATCAGCATAGTTCGCATGGGATAAAAGAAGTGCATCACAAAGAATTTGTTTAGATTGGCGATTCAGTATTTGACGGTTACGGTAGATTGTTTTGAGGTTACAATACCCTCTTTTCAAAATCAGTGAGACATGCGATAAAAATCTTAGCGACGGATTTATCAACAAACCAAGGTTTTTTATATTGTCATCTTCACCTTTTATTGGTAACGACACGTTATCGATAGTGATGCTTATATTATTCAAGCACTTTTTCCTAGTTGCTGACCTCCCAAAAAGCATGACAAACGATTTGTTGACATTCACAGAAAGACAGTATTTTTCCGAAAGTTCAGTCAGACTTTTCAAATCTATATTAATTTTTCGGCAACTATCATCTACAGAAGATTCCTCGAAATGCATGTATATCTGCGTATCATCAGCGTAACTATGTATATTTGTGTAACGAAGGCAATGAGGGAATTGGGAGGTATATATTACAAACAAAAGTGGCCGTAGGATGGACCCTTGCGGGGCACCATTCCGAGTAGCAAGAAAATCTGATTTGATTTTGTTAAATATAACACACTGAGAGCGATCACTAAGATAGTTTTTCATGAGTTCAACTGAGTTGGGTGGAAATCTGAGATATTTCAACAAAACTAATAAAAGCTGATGGCTAATCGTGTCGAAAACTTTTGAATAATCTAACAAAACAAGTAAACACAAATTATTACTATCAACCGAAGCATGAATATCGTCCATAACTTTCAACAGTGCAGTTGTACAGCTATGTTCAGCTCGAAAACCTGACCGAGTAGGAGGCAGTATATTAAATGTATCAAGATAATCGCGCATTTGAAAGTTAATGATTTTTTCCAGCGTTTTTGAGATTGCACAGAGGATGCTAATTGGGCGAAGGTCATTGATACTCTGGGGATTTGCGGTTTTTGGTAACGGGATGATTTGAGATTTTTTCCATAATGAGGGATATGCTGATTGTTGGATGTATATATTGAATTCATGTGTGACATGAGGAATGATAATAGGGCAACAAAGAAATAACATTTTGATGCTGATATTATCGGCGCCAACCGCATTGGATTTTATTGAGAGAAGTGTTTTATACACCTCATTCTCCATTATACCATGGAAAGAAAAACTGTGATCATCAAAGGAATAGTTGTTGGAAAGAAATGATACGATATCATTACCTGGATTCGAGATAAGTGAAGAGCTATTACAAAAGATGGTATTGAGATCATTGGCATTAGTGAGCTCTTCAGGGATGGTTCTATTGGATTTTTTATGCATGCCCAAGGAAGCTAAATCCTTCCAAAATTTATTTCTATTACCTTTGAGGCAGAACTCCAGGTAGGCCTTCTTTTCCAACTTGATTGTGCGGTTTGTGAGGTTTC